TAATATTATACCTGATTCGTGATGAAGAGTGTTGTGTTCTATTTAAAACGCTTTGCCTGAATGGCGATGTAGTGTGTTGTGTTCTATTTATAACCCTTTACCTGAGTGAAGATGCTGTGTGTTGTGTTCTATTTATAACACTATATCTGAGTGGTGATGTAGGGTGTTGGGTTCTATTTATAACACTTTACCTGAATAGCAAGGTAGGGTGTTGTATTCTATTTATAACACTTTACCTGAGTGGTGATGTAGGGTGTTGTGTTCTATTTATAACACTATATCTGAGTGGTGATGTAGGGTGTTGTGTTCTATTTATAACACTATCCCTGAGTGGTGATGTAGGGTGTTTTGTTCTATTTATAACACTTTACCTGAATAGCGATGTAGGGTGTTGTGTTCTACTTATAACACTTTCCCTGAGTGGTGATGTGGGGTGTTGTGTTCTATTTATAGCACTATACCTGAGTGGTAATGTAGGGTGTTGTATTCTATTTATCACACTATACCTGAGTGATGTAAGGTATTGTGCTCTATTCATACCATTTTATACCTGAGTTGTGATGTCGGGTGCTATATTATATTTATAATACTATAACTGAGTGGTGATGAAGCGTGTTGTGTTCAATTTATAACACTATAGGAGTAGTGTTCTATTTATAACACTTTACCTGAATGATGATGCAGAGTGTCGTGTTCTATTTATAACACTATATCTGAGTGGTAATGTAGGTGTTGTGTTCTTTTTATAAAACTTTATCTGAATGATAATTTAGGGTGTCGTTTTTATTGATAACAGTATACCTAAGTGTTTATCTGCTTGGTGTCGTGTAGTTCGTACACAACAGCGCTTAAAGAATAGTTTTTATTAATGTTAAACATTCTGTTTAGTGGTATTACGCAACAACTATCTATAGTCGCAAAATATTATCACTTTTTTATTATATTGTTCTACAGCAGTGTTAGAATTCATTCATACAAAGTAAAGGAAATAAATAATAAACACAAGGTATTTTTACTCAAGTTGATGAATGTGTAGTTGTAGATCTGTATATCATGTCTATAGATCATTTTGTCTCATTTATTTTCATATTCTGCAAGTCTGTTGTATATAAAACAAATTAAAGACCTTTCTGTTCTGATTCAAAACAAAACCTTGATCGGAGTTCTCATTGTTGTATTGGATAGTTTACAAGGCCATGCTTGTCTAAATCTTCATAAAAAAGATACTAGGATAAATGTTAAAATGAATCTAAATTACTGTTAAAAACATTCTGGATGTACAAACTGACGAACCAAATAGAGAGATAAAACAAAATATTAATACATTATGTAAGCTGAAATAACACACTCAAATCACGATAACAAGCTCAGAAATGGTATATAAATGTTCACGCACTCCGTGTCACAAATCTCTGTCAATTCCAATCGATTGAACTTCCATAGACCACCCATGAAGCTTAATAGGTTTTGAATTACATAAGATAGCATAAAAAAGACGCAAATTTTGGCTTATACTAGTAAGAGATGAGATATTGTTTCTAGAGGAGGAATATTTTAAAAATTAATTTTTAAAAATATTAAAAAAAAAATACTAATAAAAAAAAATAAATAGGTCAAATGTTCAAACCCAAAAAATTATTTTGAAAGATGATATATTTAAATTTTCATCTGCGCTCATAAAAAAAATTGCAGAGGAAAAATATTGTAAGTTTAAAGTTGTGTTTTCATAAATTAATCAATTTAACAGAAGTACCATTCCTGTACATTTGCAATATATTTACCGGTATAAGGTATACAGTTGTATTAATAAAAAGAAATAAAATTTCGTTTCCTATAACACTTTACCTGATTGAGAATGTAGTGTGTCGTGTTCTATTTATAACACTATACCTGATTGATAATGTAGTGTGTCGTGTTCTATTTATAATACTATACCTGATTGAGAATGTGGGGTGTCGTGTTCTATTTATAACAGTATATCTGAGTGGTGATGTAGGGTGTTTTGTTCTATTTCTAATACTATACCTGAGTGGTGATGTAGGGTGTTTTGTTCTATTTATAACATTATACCTAGGTAGTGACGTAGGGTGTCGTGTTCTATTTATAACAGTATATCTGAGAGGTGATGTAGGGTGTCTTGTTCTATTTATAACATTATACCTAGGTAGTGATGAAGGGTGTTGTGTTCTATTTATAAAACTATACCTGAGTGGTAATGTAGGGGGTGCTGTTCTATTTATAACACTATACTGAGTGATATTGTCGGGTGTCGTGTTCTATTTATAACACTATATCTGAGTGGTGATGTAGAGTGTCATGTTCTATTAATAACACTATACCTGAGTGGTGATGTAGGGTGTCATGTTCTATATATGATGCTTTACCTGAGTGGTAATGTAGGGCGGTGTGTTCTATTTATAACACTATACCTGAGTGGTGTTGTAAGGGGTTGTGTTCTATATATAATGCTTTACCTGAGTGGTAATGTAGGGTGTGGTGTTCTATTTTTAACACTATACCTGTGTGGTAATGTAGGGCGTTGTGTTCTATTTATAACACTATATACCTGAGTGTTGATGTAGGGTGTTGTGTTCTATTTATAACTATATCTGAGTGGTGATGTAGGGTGTTTTGTTCTATATATAAAGCTTTACCTGAGTAGTGATGTAAGGTGTCGTGTTCTATCTATAATCTATCAATCTAAAATTGCCAACACTTAAACTTTTATCGTTAAATTTTCCTTACTTATTCTGTAAACAAAGATTAATTACATAGTTTAAATTTCATTACATTAATCCACGAACTTTTTGTTGACCCCTCGTATGTTATGCATGTAAATGTAAATGCATCACTATAGAAGGGATCATTACAATTTATCTTAACACGTCAACTAAATACATTTTGTATGAAGTTAAGATAATCCTTTAATTTTGTATGAAGTAAAAATTGTTTTATCTCCCTTGATCTCCTACATAGGGCGAAACCGTTTTTGAAGTTATGTAACTTGTTTGTAAAATTCAAAACCTTTCTTTGCAAGAACTACTGAATCAGGAAAGCTAAAATGCAGGTATGTGCTTTTTACTTTTGTTAAACCTTGCTAAATAACTATGCATCAAATACTAAATACTTTTATACCCTGTGACGTTGTTCAAAATCTTAGATAAGGGTCAGAGCATATTTCTGATCCCAGTATACTTTTATTATTTTCTTGGTAACAATCTGTTTATATAAGAGAAGAATTCTACCCCTCTTTATATTTCAAGTTATTGGCTATCAAATCTGAAATAGGAGAAACCTTTTTTAAAAGTTTTTTTTTTAAGTTATTAACACCTTTGACAGGTCAATAAGAAAATAATAAGTTCACAAGTATAAATCAGTTTTACAGATCTTCAAAAATTGATTTTGCTCGTTTAAAGGATAATCTTCAATCAATAAATGTCTACACACAGCTAAACAGACAGGTAAACTAGTAATACCCCATAAACCACAAAAAATCAATTTTCAAAGATAAAATATTTTATGGTAAACCCCAAGCCAGAAATTCTATTTATTTACGCAGTTTGAAAGAGATATCTCTGATATTTAAATCCCTTGGCCTCGTAACTAGATAAATATTTAGAGAGAAGACAAGAAAGTAAAGTCTGATATGTGAAGGATATTATGGAGTTCATTTTGGATCTAAATGTAAGACGATCATATGTAGAAAATCTAACATATTGTTGCAAGACATTACCCCGGCTGTTTATTAATTATCTCAAGTGGAGTAAAATACATAAAAGTCACTACATATTATACTTTTTATATGAATTATACAGATTTGCAAACATGACATATTCTTCCTAATAAATGAACAAGGTGTACAGAAAACACTGATCAAAATTTCCCTACTGTCATTTCCAAACTGAGTAACTGTCTCAATATTTCACAAACAATTAAAACTTAAACCTTTAAAATATACTACTTTAGTTTAAAGTTCCTTTAAGTTCCTCGAATCATGTGATCAAAGTTGTTTTTTAATTACAGGGTCCACTAATCGTTTGACCCCAAACCCAGTGATTGACCCCTAATGCAGTGCTCAAGACATCCTCCTCTGTGACCTGTGTCAAACAGCTGCATTACAGAGTCATTGTGAACTTTATCCGATGAACCTGTGTAAGGCCCTTGTAGAGGAGTATCTCTCTGATGTATCAAAAAGACACAATGCTGTACCATACAAACACAAAACTTCAACGCCTGACTACCCATGTCCAAACCACACCCAGAAACATTGTGAACTTTACTGTGAACAATGTGACATTCCCGTCTGTTCTACTTGTATCTCCTCTGGAAAACATCATGACCATATTAAAGCAGATATTCTACAAAAGCAAAGATCTAAAATTTAGAAAGTGACTTACAGAAACTCGAGAAAAAATCTTACATTAGATCTAAACTCTAAAAGAGCAAACTTGGAAGATCATTATGATAAACTGACAATGTCTGTCAACAAACAAGGAGAAGATTGGAAGAAAGAAATAAACATTATTGTCAGCAAAAGGAAATCAAGAATTGTTGAAATGAAAACTAAACATCTGGCTGCTTTAATTGGACAGGAAAATGAAATCAAACAGATTACCACCGATGTTAAACAGTGTATTCTTGACTACAATGATGTCTCCCTAACCCTGGCATACAAATCCAGGAATGCTGAATTCAGAAGTTTACCTCCTGAAATCAATGTAACATTACCAAAATTACCAAATATCTCTCCTCGTTAGATCACGAAAGAACAGCTCAATGAAATGTTTGGTTCTCTGTCAGCATTATTCATTATAAAGGAAGAACATGGCTACATAATAAAGACAAAAGAACGATTTGGTTAATCAATGTCAAACAACATTTTTGATAATTCAACAGGTATTACAAATTTTGATGTCACAAAGTAATAAAACGCTTTCTTAAAATTCCGGCACATTAAAGTATAGGGTCAAACCTTGATAAAAGTTCTCCTGGCTACAATTAGGGCCTGGTTGACAAGTCCATACTCAAACGCTGATTTCTCTGATGATATTTAAACCAAACCAAGTTAAATATAACTATATAGTGTAGATAAGATCTTGTAAAAGCCAACACTTTTTTCTCTAAACAAGAAGGAATTTTACTCTCTTCAATTGCCAAAAAATACAATAATAAATTTCCTATACAAATTGTATAAATGTGGTACATGTGAAATGAAATAAACAGCTTTTTGTATAATTTAAGATATGTCATTATATTCTATTAGTCAGACATTCAATATTGACAACATTATACACTTAATAAATAATTATCAGCTGTCTTACCTTCAATAAACCTGGCCACAGTGGAGTAATTACAACACAAAGGAAGAATTCTTCTGACAAGATCTTGTAGAGAGGGATCTATGGAAAACAAAACATCCCAGCTTTCATATAAACCAATTAAAGAATTTGACATCTTTTTTTATCAAGATTTGACATCTCTATCTACTAGTACTAAGATTTTGTCATCTCTACATACTCAGATTAAGGTCAAGATCTAGTAAATAACTTTAAACTAATTTTTTAAGGAATGAAGCTTATTTCAACTTATGTTATCCGATATGACATAACTTGGGGCAGTTTACGCTTTATAAACCGCGAAGCGGTTTATAAGAAAGCGTAAACTGTCCCAAGTTTTGTTATATCGGATAACATAAGTTGAAATTAGCTTCATTCCTTATAATTTAATTTCAGTGTAGACAATGAGACAATATTTCCTCCGGAAAGAGGCTTTAAATTGAGTAATATTTTAAAAGTAACGTCAAGCGGAGTAATACGTTTTTGACGTAACTCATTGTGACGTAGGCAAGTTATGTTATACAAAATGTTATGTGTTCCTCTGAATGATTCAGCCAATGAAATTGCTTGATACAAGTGAAATTAAATTATTTGGTGATAGATCCATTATGACGTCATAAACTATTTCAACTTTCTTTTTCACGTACTTTATGGCTTTAGAAGAATTATGTAGAAATAGGGTATTTTCATGACATTCAATTTGAAATATAGAGGATATCTATATTGTGTGATTTGATATTGGCTTTATCCAACGAGTTGAAATGGTGTATATATTCGCGAGGCTTGCCGAGCGAATATACACCATTTCAACGAGTTGGATAAAGCCAATATCAAATCACACAATTATAGATGTTCTATTTATCTCATACGACTTTCGTTTTAACAAAACTTTGAGACTTCCCCTGCGAAACTACATGAATGACTGCCAAAATCAAATTGATGACGTATAACTTGATGACGTAGCACCGTTGATGTTTACATGCGTCGAGAGAAAGTAGATCGAGTTCAAAATTTAGAATATTTGCTATCTGTGTCTTTGAAAACATCATGTGAAAATAGCTGAAGCTTTACATCAAACGAACTTCTGACTGAAAGTTGTTAGGACTATGGGGATCGTGAAAATCAACTCTTTTTACGATGGCAGTACAAATCGTGCTAGGCAAGGCTAGGGGCCTAGACTTTGTCTAGATTGTTTGCTGATCCATGGTAAGTTACACCTACATTACTAGGTAGGCATACGTAGTATAATATAAGAAAGCATTGTTAAAGATGTCAAAGGAGTCTTATAACAACAACTTAACTGGTACATGTAGGCTTTACTTTCTCCGAAAACGATCTAAGAGGGGGGGGGGGGGTAACATCTGTCTTCAAATAGCAAACGGGTTCCTTGATAAAATAAGACACTTCTTTGACATCTTGCTTTTAACGATATTGCTACCCTTTATCATTCATTTTATAAGGGCAACAATTTTCACAAATAAAAGTTTCAATAAAATAAAATCTTGAAGCGAGGGTTTGTGTCAAATCTGGAAGTGCTATTGATAAAGCATCTACCCGTTGATAAAGCATAAGTTTATCCAACGGCCTGTATCACCAACACGTATGAGATAAATAATGAAAAGTAAACCGGATACCTACATTAAATTTGATATTGATTTAAAGAAGAGGCCATGAACATACTAATTACTGTTTTCTGAGAGACTGTAGGCAATCTGGATACATTTCCTTTGTCGAATATGAAAAAAAAAACTCCAAACTTATTCATGACTGGTTTTCTTGAATTTTTAATTGAAAATGACAGTTTAAAATACAGTTTTTCATCTTGTTTACCTACAAATTATGCCCCGAAACACCTCATTTGACCAAGCTTAAGTTGTAACGCATCAATAAAGAAATTTATTTCTCAAGTTTGATAAATCTGTAGGCACCTTTTATTTACTAGATCTTGACCTTAAGACATCAGTACTTACCCAGATTTTGGTCCAACATATATTTCTTTGAGGAGTACCTCTCTGTCAGAGCTCGGGGCCAGGATGTATTTCCCCTCAATTCCCAGTGAAATACAATTAGTTTCAGTCTAAAACAAAACTTACATTCTCTTCCATTTTCACCAATTATCTTGTTTTTATTTTGTTGTTCTATGAACTCATTTTCAAAATATACTAAGTGCTAACTATATAGAGAACAAGAATTTTGTTCCTAGAAGTAATTTCTAAAATTAGCATTCTGTGTCTCATTCTAGATTATTATATCCCTGAGGAATTATAGACCCCTCTTTAGATGTTATACAGAATCTGATGTTAAAACCCTGGATCTGCCCATGTTATCTGATATTGTAGATGATGGACATTTTACCTGCATACAGTTCAACATGTCATCCAGAATGGCGTGCTCCTTAGCTGGTACACTCATGCTGCTTAGAGGAACAATATTCTGTAAAATAAATTACAACCTAATTTAAAGTCAGCAATTTGTAAATTCTATTGTCGTAATAAAGATTTGACACCTGATTCCACCTCTGATGTTTCGGAGATCTGTGTTTGCTCTGCTCCTATTTTGTATTGTTTTATGGACATTAATATTGAATACTGTTCATTACCTCCATATCCTTCTTTGTTATCAAATATAAAGTATAATTGGGTTATATTTTGGCTGACTTTTTTCATACCAATAGAGATGTTCAAAATTTCAAAGGATTATGACAAAAAACAAGATATTGAGACATTAGTTTCAGCCAATCAAAAATTGTCTGCATATATCGAATGTTTTTACAATGCTTGGATATGCAGCTCTCTGCTTTATCTGTCCGATTTTTTTCAAGCAGAGAGCTACAGTTCTGCACCTAAGAATTCATCTACTCCGATAATGGACTCAAGTGTTATATACCTGATCTGAGGGTTAATCTACTCCCACAATGAAGTCCAGGGTCAGGCAAGGTCTCTTAAACAACCAGTCTGGCTGAGAGGGAATGTTTACTGCAATTACAACTATATCATGTCATGTGAATATGGATTTTTACTAATATTTCAAATTAATAATGATAATAGATTAAAATTTTTTGTCATTATGATTTTCATACCAAAAAAATAACCTGAAATACAGGATGTAGAAAATATCACTTTTTTGCTTCCTAGTCTCATACCAGTAGTACAGTTTAACTTCAAAACACTGAGTATATAAATTTTACCATTCCGCTTGTTTGGTTTCTCCTGCAGGGCTTTCCTTAATATTTCTGACAATGTAGTTGCAGTCATCATTTTTTATTCTTTAAACAGTGTGTCCTTTAACTGTTAAAGAGGAATTCAGAGTTAAATTAAATTTCAGAGATCAGTTCAATTTTTCAAACTTTAAAAAGATTTGTTATTATCAACTCCTTACCCAAGTTTAAAGATGATCTACTCCGATAATGGAGTCAAGTCTTAAATACCTGATCAGAGAGTTCATCTACTCCCACAATGGAGTCAAGTCTTAAATACCTGATCAGAGAGTTCATCTACTCCCACAATGGAGTCAAGTGTTAAATACCTGATCAGCGAGTTCATCTACTCTGATAATCGAGTCAAGTGTTAAAGATCATCTTTTCTGATAATGGAGTCAAGTGCTAAAAACCTAATCAGTGTGTACATCTACTACCACAATGGAGTCAAGTGTTACATACCTGATCAGAGGCTTCATCTACTCTGATAATGGAGTCAAGTGATAAAATACCTGATCAGAGAGTTCATCTACTCCCACAATGGAGTCAAGTGTTAAATACCTGAAGAGAGAGTTCATCTACCCCCACAATGGAGTCAACTGTTAAATACCTGATCAGTGAGTTCATCTACTCCCACAATGGAGTCAGGTGTTAAATACCTGATCAGAGGCTTCATCTACTCTGATAATGGAGTCAAGTGATAAAATACCTGATCAGAGAGTTCATCTACTCCCACAATGGAGTCAAGTGTTAAATACCTGAAGAGAGAGTTCATCTACCCCCACAATGGAGTCAACTGTTAAATACCTGATCAGTGAGTTCATCTACTCCCACAATGGAGTCAGGTGTTAAATACTGATTAGCGAGTTCATCTACTCTGATAATGGATTCAAGTGTTAAAGATCATCTTTTCCGGTAATGGAGTCAAGTGTTAAAAACCCGATCAGAAGGTACATCTACTTTGATAATGGAGTCAAGTGTTAGATACCTCTTAGAGGGTTCATCTACTCAGATAATGGTGTCAAGTGTTACATACTTGATCAGAGGGTTCATCTACTCCCACAATGAAGTCCAGGGTCAGGCAAGGTCTCTTAAACAACCAGTCTGGCTGAGGAGGAATGTTTACTGGAAAATAATTTTATCTTGTCATGTGAATGTGGATTTTTACTAATATCTCATATTAATAATGGTAATAGATTAAGATTTTTTGTCATAATTATTTTCATACCAAAAAGTAACATGAAATACAGGATGTAGAAAATATCACTTTTTTGCTTCCATGTCTCATACCAGTAGTACAGTTTAACTTCAAAACACTGAGTATATAAATTTTACCATTCCGCTTGTTTGGTTTCTCCTGCAGGGCTTTCCTCAAGATTTCTGACGATGTTGTTGCAGTCATCATTTTTTATTCTTTAAACAGTGTGTCCTTCAACTGTTTAACAGGAACTCATAGTTAAATTAAATTTCAGAGATCGATTCAATTTTTCAAACTTTTAATTAATTAGCTTAGTTATTATTCTCATCTCCTGACCCATTACTGTTTTTATTGATCAAAAGGGAGTTCCTACCTCGGTGAAATCTTGCATGGTGATTTTTGCTCCGGGGGCGGGGAGCTGTGAAATAACCCTGCTATGTGAGGCCAGAGCCAAACCAGATTTATCAGCTTTGTCTCTCGCAATTTTAGTTAGGTACTCTTTTGTCTGTAATAAAAATCAGCCAACAACAACACACAATAGAAATGGCAAAAATTAAATTTTATCATTTTCTGTTAGCTCCGAGTCATTATTCTTATTGTTTCAAAGAGAATTTCAAAATAATTTTTTTATTTTGCTATATTTTGTATTACAGTATTTCGCCTTCAGTTGAAAGAATATATTGAGTCCAACATCGTAATACTACTGTATTAAATCAAGAATTATACCTATTCCTCCTCACACAGTTTGGAAAGGAGAAAAACAAAGGGGTCCAGTTCTCTGTTACTATGGAAACAAAAATAATACAACTAATTCCAATTGATTGAAAAACAATTTCCAAGCATATTAACCACAAATCGTACTTCTGCTAATCATAGTAACTACACCCAGCTACAGCTGTAATCAAGACACCCAACTCTTCCTCTTAACGTAGTTTGTATCTCAGTGCATGTATGTAGTGTACTTAATATGTGCCAAGTCTTAGAGGAATTGAACCAAAAGTGTATGGCTGGTGTACTTAGAAAGAATTCTAATTGAGAAATAATTCAAATTTCTTTTTTAGTAACAATGGCAACACTGTTGAATCGAAAACAGTGGTCAGCTTGTGTTTCAAGTCTTACTGAATTGAACTAAAACATTATGAGGAGCAGGGTTTTAAGGTTTCGAAAATTGTTGTATGGACAGAAAGACAGCTAGACAGACAATGAACACCTCAATACTGTAGATTCCTAAACGTACACGTGGAATTAATTATCGCATAATTTAGCGAGAAGCACCATTCGTGAATTAACATTACTTCCTTTTATTTTTTATGGTGTTTGAAGCCCTTAATCAACTGTCCATTTACGAATTCTTACTCTCGCAATTCAAGAGTCCTTTCGTTAAAATAACTACTCGCGAAAAATAAGGAATCTAAAGTAGTGAATAATCAATTAAAGTCTCTGACCAGTAGAGCTTACAAACCCTGTTTTAGGCCTTTCTTTGTAGACCTTTCCTTGGCTAGGAACTCGATAGTTTTGTTGACTTACTTTTTAGACTTGAGTTCATCATACTTGGCTAGGAACTCAATAGGAGTTTTTGTTGACTCAGCAATCTTTCTCTTAGCTTGATGAGCAGACACGTAAAATAGACAGAAAATACCATAGTTTCTTTGGATAAAGCATAGGTTTAATGAAAATCAAGACAAACTTCTTCATCACAAACACTTTTATTCCAAACATCACCTATTGATACTTCTAATACTAAAGTTATGTCTTTTAGAATTCTCTATTTCTATTATCATGATGTCTCTTTGAACTCTGTGACCTTGCCCTAATAACCTTTGATCTAGGTCATGTAATATCTAATGATCATAATTAACTCCTTATAAACCTACCTTAGACAATACATGTATGATCTTTGAAGTTAATTCATTGTAAAAAAAACATAAGAAAAAATATTTGTTTACACTGTACCATGTAACCTTGACCCCGTACAAATGATTAGTGCAAGATTCTTACATACCCTTAAGTCACAAGCACAATTTTCTGATTTTATTAAGGAATCACTGTCTAGTTTTGAGAGTATGCCAGGGCATCAACAATAGTGGGAAACATGGGATAATTTGCATAACGGGCTTCGCCCGTTATGCTTAAATTATCCCATGTTTCCCTGTCACAGATTGTCGAGAGGATTTACTATCTCTTTTTACTTACTAAATTAAAATATAACTCAAATGCTTTTTTAAAAGATAATTGACATATTTAATAACAATAAATGTACAAATTCAACAAAGTCCGTGTTGCTTGTCTTACTGCGTCGTGCTGCCGCCTTCCACACTACTGGCCAGAGGAACTCTAAGGCCCAAGGGTTGTTTCCCTTTTACGCACCACTCCACTCGGAACGGGCTGACTCACTACAAGGCACTGGGTGGCCTTTCCACACCGTCTCTACGTAGACTTATACCATGGATAGATGGAACCTGCTCCAACATACATATACAAGTTTTATTGATTAGCGCTTGTGGCTTGACACAAATACATACTTCACTCATTATCAAACTTGTGGATAATGTACACGTCTTAGATAAGACTAATTACACAAACGAGTTGTTTAAACTATGCATACAACTCTTACACAAATGCAATATTGCGAATTGCTACTACACGGACAAGTTTTATGACGGAAATTGTACACCATAGTTTAGAAATATTCAAATACGTGTTACTATACATAGAAATACAATTATAAACGAAACACACATGCTTAAAATGATGAGAAATGTGATTACTGGATGTTTTAGGACAAATGAACGCATAATGAAAATAATAAAGATAAAATTATAAACATAAACCTTACCTCAGAAAAGCTGGACCATAACATACAGGAAATACAGAGGAAGCCCTGCAGGTAATACTGGTACTCGGTGTAGTTATAATTTCTAATTACAAAACATATCAGATATCTACATGTATGAGAGAGGGGTAAAAGCGTCCTCCTCTCTGGACTGCCGTGTCCAAACTATCTTGCACGGACTGGCGGGTTTAAAGGTCCAGTGAGTTGAGGTTCAGTAAAGGATATTTACAATGATAAACTGACTAAAACGAAGGGGTTCCACACGGGATATTTACATAATATTAAAATAGTGTAACAAAATAATATTATGGGGATTTTAATGTGACATTCCCACTATTGTTGATGTTCTTGGCATACTCTCATAACTAGACAGTGATTCCTTATATTTCCATTTCATTGTGAAACAAAAATGTAGACTTAGACATTAAGAATGTAGACTAATTGATTTACATTACACGAGGACTTCCATGCCAATTTCAATAGTCCTCGCACACTGACGTCAAACACAAAGGCAGCCGCACGAGATTTACATGCATATTTGGCCTCCTTAGCGTCAGACACAGAGACAGATGTGCAAGAGATTTGCATGCGTATTAGGCCTCCTTAGCTGCTGAACTATCGACCTGCCTAATTTACATTCCAGCAGAATTATCAGGAAATCAACCCCGCTTACTTTCAAAGGGTTATTATCTAAGAGAAAAAATTTAGAAATGGAAATATTAAACATTCAATGACTTTTGCTAGATTTATTCTAATTTCTAAAACCCGTGACCTTGTCCAAATTACCTTGGGTACACTTTTGAGTGGAATGCAATCTTTGCCTTTAAAAATCTTCTTTTTTTAAAGGCTCTGGCTATTACAAAACAGCCATAACTTAACATGCTTAATATTTTAACACCCGGTGACCTTGTCCAAAATGAACTTACTGAAGTACAGGGTCAATGAACATTTCTGGCCACAATTAATATTCATTATTAAGTATGAAGTTTCTTGGTTACATTTTTTACAAATGAAGAATTCCATTCCTCCTGTACTAGTCAAAGTTCTATAATTTGCAATGAAATCTTAAATAGGTCACAACTTTTTTTTTTAATTTTTTAATTTTGACAGATCAGTCTGAAAGTACTAGATTCACAAGTTCAAATAGTATAATAAATTGATTCTACAGAACTTGAAAAAAAAAATAGGAAAGTTAGAAGATAATCTCTAAACAATAAATGCCTACATACAGCTAGACAGACAGACAGACAGACAAGTCTAATATACCCCCAAAAGCTTTGTTTACAAGGTGAAATTCACCATCTAATTCTTGTTAATACCAATGCATGATTTCAATCTATTTAAACTTTGCTACACTGACAGGTATAAACATATCACAGGTAATTAAATCACATGACCTCATTTGGAATGAAGACAAGGAAGTAAATTGTGATGTATAGAATTATCAGGGAGGCCATGTTGGATTTAGAGGTGAGACAAGATTATATTTAGTCAATTTAATATGATAATGTTACATTACCCTAGCTGCTGTCATTCATGACATTTGTTCAAACACATGAAAGATTCAGTTTAGATTATGCTTATGATATGAATTACAAATAATTGCAAAAGTCATGTTCTTCCCAATGCATAAACATGTACAGAGCATTTTTTTAAAAACTGCATACCGATATATAAACACTTATCAATATATCCCTAGTGTAATTGCTAAACTGAATTTCACAAAACAAAAAAAACAACTTCGATTGTGTTTGGTTTTAAATAACTTGAATTTCCTTTAATCATGTAATCCAAGTTTCGTTTTACTTTATTTACAGGGTCTGCTTATTGTTTGACCCAAACCCCAGTGATGGACCCCCGTTATTGTGCCCAAGACATCCTCCTCTGTGACCTGTGTCAAACAGCTGCATTACAGAGTCATTGTGAACTCTGTCGTATAAACCTCTGTATAGTCTGTGTTGGAAAACACCTCTCTGATTCCTCTAAAAGACACAATGTTGTACCATACAAACACAGAACTACTACTCCTAACTACCCAAAATGTCCGAACCACACCCAGAAACATTGTGAACTTTACTGTGAGAAATGTGACATTCCTGTCTGTTCTGCATGTACCTCCTCTGGGAAACATAAAGGACATGATTTATCTGATGCTCTGCAGAAACTTGGTTCTAAAACAAAATATTTAGAAAATGACTTGGAAGATCTAGAGAAAAGAATCTATCCAACATTTCAGGAAATTACTTCAGATTTAAGGTCTGAAAAAGTCAACTTGGAAAAACATTATGAAAAACTGACAACAGCTGTCACCAAACAAGGAGAAGACTGGCACAGAGAAATTAACATCATTGTCAACAAACAGAAATCTGAAATTGATGAGATGAAATCTAAACACCTGACTGCTTTAAATAAACAGGAAAATGAAATCAAGCAAATTACTTATGATGTTAAACTGTGCATTCTTGATCTGAAGAAAATACAATGATGTCTCTCTAAACTTGGCATACAAATCCAGGAATGCTGAATTCAAACGTTTACCTCCTAAAATCAATGTATTACTACCAGGTTTCTCTCCTCATCAGATCAACACCGAACAGCTCCATCAAATGTTTGGTTCTCTGTCACCATTATCCATTACACCAGAAGAACATGGCTACACAATGAAGACACCAGAAGCTGTATCCTGTCCTCCAGTCAAACAACTGCTTGATGAACCAGAGCTCATCACCACCATTGACACTGAGTATAAGTACTCACTACAAAGTGTTACCTGTCTCAGTGATGAAGAAATCTGGACACGTGGAGGAGACAAAAACATGAAACTCTACAACCTCCAGGACAAACTACTGAAGTCAATCCAAACCAAGTATGGGTACATACCATGTGACATAGCAGTGACAAGGAGTGGAGATCTAGTTTATACTAATACTAGCAACGGAACTGTAAACATAGTGAAGAATAAAAAGATACAGGAAGTGATCAAAGTACAGGGGTGGAGATCTAACTGTGTCTGTAGTACCTCCTCTGGTGAACTCCTGGTTACCATGGTCAGTGATGATGATAAACAATCAAAAGTTGTCAGTTACTCTGGCTCCGCAGAGATGCAAACCATTCAGTTTGATAGTGAAGGTAAACCTCTGTATTCATCTGATAACCTTAAATACATCAGTGAGAACAGGAACCTGGATATCTGTGTAGCTGACCATGGAGCAAAAGCAGTAGTGGTGGTTAATCAGGCAGGAAAACTCCGATTTAGATACACTGGTCATCCCTCTACTAACAAGGGACCATTTGTTCCACGCGGCATCACAACAGACAGCCAGAGTCAGATCCTGACAGCAGACTTTTGTAACAACTGTATCCACATCCTAGATCAGGATGGACAGTTCCTCCGTTACATTGATAACTGTGATCTACAGTTTCCAGGGGGTTTATGTGTAGACACCAGAGACAACCTCTTTTTAGCTGAGTGGGGCAGTGGTGAAGTGAAGAAAATCAAATATATGTAAATAGAGTGAAAACATAAACTGTTTGTATCTGAGATAATCTCTGTGGCTGAGGGAAATAAAATTGTGAACAAAAATTCAAGTTCTTGTGAATTGCAATAAAAATGTAAAAAAAAAAAATAATAATTGCCACAAAGGAGCTAAACCCTTAATGGTGTCATTAATGTTTACAGAAATCAGAACTGTATGATGTGTAATCTGATGATGAAAAAGAGCCCCGCCACAGCATGATACGCCCGTCAAATATTGTTCTATGATCATAAATTGGTTAGGATGCAAGAAAATCAGGTAGCCTTGATTAACAGATTGACACAGATTTCAATGATTTAATTTCCATTTCTTATCATACATCTCTAAGAGACGGGTACCTGCAAAGTGCGAAACGAAATAGAAACGAAACGAACTGAAACGAAACGAAATCTACCAAAACGAAACGAAACTAAATGAAAACGAAACCTGCCGAAACGAAACGAAACAAAACTTTCAGAATGATTATATTGTCTAATTTTACTTCATATGAAATTTATATAGTTCAAGCACCACAGGCTTCGCTCCAAGCTATTAAAAAGGGGGGGGGGGTGGGGTAACCAACAAAAAGGTTAATGCCTATATAATATATTTCTTTGCAAAAAAAAAGAAAAGTTTTGGGGGGAGGCTAACACGCCCCCCCCCCACGCTTCCAACGCCAATGTCATATTTTATTAATATCTTACTGAATAATTTACCTACTTACAATTGACATCGTTTGCTCTGAGAGACTTTTTTCTTGTCAGTAAAATCGTTTTCGACGTCTCTTATGGAGCCTCTTTATTGCAAACCACTCATTTCTTCCTCGAAAATCCTCGATAAAAATAGGACTGTATGTACGTAGAAAGGATACACAAGATTCCGGTTGTACATGTAGTTACATGTATAACTGAACAATAAAATCAGACACCTCGGAATGGATTACTAAATACTCTAAGTCGCTGGTTTATCCTATGTTTTATGACATTCGCAATAAAACAGTACAGTGACTTTATAAATAAGGACTGAAAATAAGAGTAAAATATAAAAATTAGAAAATACTGCACATATTGAAATTATACATGCATAGTACGCTCGTGCATATTTGCAGCTGACTGAGAAGGGAGTATAATTTATCAATAATTTAAAATTTTAAACTAACAAATGCTTGAACTATATATATAAATTTTATTTGAAGTAAAAAAAAAAAAAAGTCCACATGCAGTTACACATATATGTTTATATACATGTACCTTGATTTGAAAAAAAAACCCAAACATTTTGATAGTTTTGTTTCGTTTCGGCAGGTTTCGTTTCGTATCGTCGTGATTTCGTTTCGTTTCGGTAGGTTTCGTAGGTTTAAGCCGAAATACATGTACTTTTGACTTGGCGCTTCGTAATGTTCAGTCATGTATATACCGAGTGCATGCTCTACTGTAGAGGCCAATCTCTAAAACTTGACAAAAGCAGAAAATATCGAATTATTGGTATGACGGACAAGGAATTCATGTATATTTTGCTTAGTTTTATTTTCAGTAGGGGGAAGGGGCAAAGTACATGAACCAATCGTCAGGTACTTGTGATCTTGTTGAGTATTGAGGCTGTAAATACCTAAACTGACAAATTGAAAAATGCCATTTAAATTTGAAATAAAACTAAGAAATTTGTGAGATAATTTTATAATTAATCAAAATGTAGCCTTAACTCGTTATGTAAAATGTCGTTTACATTTATAGTGTTTCGTGTTTATTGGGCTCAAAACCATCTTTTTTTAAAATTGAATGTCCATATTTCCCTCAATTTCAGGTGCATAAGAATTTAAATATATACTCATGTCTTGTTCCGATTTATTGGTACAGTTAAAAGCCAACGCGGCAACTTCTTGCAAACATATAATGTTCCAAACACGGCAATATAGCATGCACTTCCTATTTCATGCTGTCTCGGATGACGTCACGCAACAAGGGAGATAAGCGATTCACAATAAATGATCCACTTGTCACACAGGTAAATTTAAACGACTATAAGTGATGGAAATTGGTGACAAAAAATTAAATAGAGCTCAGAATGTCATTCATATTGCTCCAGAGGCTGACAATAATGAATAGTTATGAATTTTCACAAAAATATTATAATTGACCTTTAAAGCCTCAGTCCTATACACTTGGACTTTGTCAAATTTCTCACAGAAACTAAAAAGTTAAAGTTTACATTTTTTCTGGGTTTTTTTCTTTATCGATATTAATCCAATGATCAGTGAGAATCTTTTTTTCAAAATACATGTTTAATTATTTTTCATTGGTGTTTTCTCAAAAAATGAAAATATTTGTTGTATGTTAATGAATGAATTTTACTAAAATAAATTAAAGCTATGCAAAGCCATCACTGCTTTTAGATAATTCCAATAAATACATCGAAAAATAGGTTTTCCTCTGCGGCCAGACACATTTGTGGGTAAATTCTTTTAGCAATCCCCATTAAAGCAATATACTTTTTTAAAAATCACTAATTTGTAAAAATGTGGAATTAATAACTCTTTATTAATATAAAAAGACCAATTATTCCTTAATAAAAGAATATCTCATCAATACTGTGCTAATGACTTCAAATATATTACTCAGATTAACATAGTTCTCACTTCCCACATATACAATTTTTCGTAAGAAAACTTTTCAAAAATGTTTCCTTTAACATCTACAAGCACATACCAGTGACATGGAATTGCATTGTGCATTGCAATAAGTTATTTGAGTCCAACAATGAACTTTAATATATCTTAGTTTCTTTATCTCTTTCCAATGTTAGTACTTGTGTTGTTCTGGTCAGCCCTTCTTAACTAGATGAGTTAGATGATGGTCTTTGTTTGTGGATACTTGGGACGTATTGAGCCGTCTCTGGACGCTGTGACGTAAATGATGACGTCGGCCATGAACCAGTGGATCCTATAAATCAATATGCTGATTTTAAAATATATTGAAAAGATGGTTAAATCATGAATCGTAAGATGCTGCTGTTTGTCATTTAAAATTCAAACTCCATGGAGAGAAAACTATACTTTGAAAGCAAAACAAATGGAATCTAACAGGAAACATTCTGAATGGATTCTGAGCTATAGACAATAAATTCACACAGACAGGTGACTACTTTTGTTCATTTAATTATTAACCTGAATCTTAGCTTTTGTACAGTTAGTACAAGTACACTCATACAGATGACTGAAGGACAAATTTTGTAACATTTTTTTTCTTTTTTCAACATATAATTGAAGGAGGTTGGGGTCAAAAATTTAATTTTCGGATATAACTTATTTTTTTTTATTTGATATCTCAAGTTGTCAACTTTCATTTGTCAAAGATAAGTTTCATACATTACAGATTTTATATGGAGTTCTTCTTTTCTTAAAAGTATACACGCTATAACTTGCGCCAGTTAAAATACGATTGGAAATGGATATCATTTGTTTATCAATAAAAGTTACGAAAATACTGTAAATTACACCATTAAAATTAAACGCGTTACAAAGTTATCAAATTAAAATTATTTATTATCCTGCAAGGAAAGAAAAATAGCTATTCTTAAATAAATCCATCACGTGACGCCGTCGCTACACTTAGATTGATAAACACACGTGGCGTAAAGAAAACAAGGTAGGCCGTTTGGGATACTACTCACTTTTGACGTGGATGGCAAGCGTCTTGCTCTTAATGGTACTTTTCTTTTAATATATTCAGTATCAACCATCTTCTCTGTTATGACGCATATTGACCTTAATATTAATAATTGTTGTCAAAATGCAACATACATCGTTGTCCGTGAATTCCCGTGGACATGTGTTTCTATATACAGGCCTACTGTTTACGCACTTCCTTCATCAATATTCATGAAAAGATTGAATTCTTAATTCCTAGATATGTTTAATTGTTTTGTTATTACAACGACATCTATAGTACACTTTTGTGGAAAGTATTATTTTTCATTACACTTCATGTGTTTTAAATCATTAATCATTTCGTTTCACACAAAATTCGGCGTTCATACAGCGTATATGAATTTAAGACCAATGTAGTCTAAGAATGGCCACAACCACCCAGCCCCTTAAGGATTATCATTTACCAGAATCTGTACTGTGTATAGAAGATTCCATCATAGCCTTCTCTGCTGACATGGCTTCTAACTTTTCCTTGTAGAAACCATTGAAATCCAGTCTATAAATATACCATAATCAAGTAGCTACTCTTTGTTGAAAGCATTGAAATCCAGTCTATACATACACAACAAAGTAAATAAAGTAAATAACTGAACATGATTTGTTCCTAAAGAAGAACTCTTCATTGGTTTAAAAAACAGTTTAACAGGAAACTTGAATTTTTCAATACCTGAATAGTTTATATTTCTTTTACTTTCTTACTATTTTTCCTTCCATTTCACAACTAACCTGTAGAGAATGTTAAGCAGTTTCAGGTGTCCACTTTCTGAACTCAGGTCCATGATTTTCCTCAGTAAATCTATCAGTTTGCCAGAGAAGTTGTGGTCAAAGTTTGCAATTGTCCTCTCAAAGTTCTCACTGGCCATCATTAGATCTACATGCTCTGCAACAACCTATAAATTAAAAGGTACGTACACTTATTTCCATTTCTGTGATTGATAAATCAAAGGAATAAAAAGAAATAAGTTTTTAAAAAAACAGTTTCAAACAAACTATTATTTAACAACATAAGGATTTATGAGTAGAAAACATTATGATCAAATTGCAAATCAGGTATTCATCTCACAGTATTGGAATAGGTAGGTTCTTTGCCTGATTTTTGAAAGAATTCTTAACAAAGTGATCAAACCAATAAGTAAATGCTTTATTTAAATAGTTAAATATTTTAATGTTGAAATTAAAGATGGTATAAAGCATAACCCTTGGTAAAATATACATATTAATATTATTTCTGTCAATAACTACTTCCAATATGTCCTTTATGTATTATATATCATAATATTCATTCTCTTCTGTGTGGTATTTTTTTATAGTAATCTATAATGTCCAATGTTCATTCGTCAAATATTGCGAGTACATGTAGGACTATTTTTGCCCAAAACTCATTAACCTTTCATCCAATCAAGAAAATTTCACCATGGAGAAATATATCCCTGAATCAGCCATCATACATATGATATACAAGTGTGTATTTAATATTGGTGTTCTCTCTGCCCACAAACCAAACATGCTCAAAATATTGGAAACGTTTGTCCACATATAACAGAACCAAAACGTAAAGCAAATTAATTTTACAAACTTCATTTACAAATATGAACGTTTTTAAAAATAACTCCACAAAGTTTTATATACATCAATATTATGACTAAATGAGCTCATGAGTATTTAGGATACATTAGGTGAGCTAAGATAATTATTCATTTGTGAGTTCACTCATTGGTGACTGGGTGAATTTTTTTCAGTGCCTCCCACCAGCAATTGAATTATCCTTTACTCTTATAAATTACTATAAAAGTGTGTTTCTATGCATATAAAAATCATGGATGCCAATTCAGAAATGCAAACGACAGTATAATTTCCAATATTGTGCTCACAAGATAGATATAATTTGTATACATGTACTCATTTTCTTTTTTAATTAAATACTTACAGCCCTGTCATTTACCAGCTGTAGAGATTATTTTTAATGTTAAGAATTTTAATAACCTCAGGAAATAATATATATTTTTATCCCAAATTTTAGTTTAATTTTCTTTCAACATGTTCAATATTGAAAAAATTAAAGATAAGATTATTGTAATTTTCCTTTATAAAAAGAAAGAACAAAGAGAATTGTTCTCACTTTTCATATCACATACTTTGTTAATATAAAAGTTAATCATTTCATTGATATTAATTTTGTTAAAACAGTTGATTTTAAGAACAGTTCATAAATAAAATTTCTGAACAAGTCACCATACTTTATAAGCTGAAAAGGAGGAAAGGTTATGATTACTACATCAGGTAAATAAATGAGAAGGTCATGCCAAGAGAGACCTTTAACATAAATGTACATTTGGTAATTGCCTGGCTTGAATTTGGATTAAAAAAGATCAAGAAATGTCTAGAACTAAAGGTTTAATATCAAAGGTTGAATAATGTTATGATAAAATAATGATTTACAGGTAAACTTACATCCATGTTGTATGAAAGAAACTTCTAACAAAGGTAAAATAATTCAGTTAGATGCTGATTGGGTTCAAATAATATAATGACAGATAAGTAATCATGTGTACATTTTAGAACAAGGATGTTCAATACACAATTCAAAAATCAGGATATAGCTGTATATTATTTTCATCATTTATTCAAAGTCCTCAAATTGGCTCAAACATGATCACATGATTAAGTATATAACAGCATAAAGACTTGAATTACTATTTATAGAATCTGAAATGCATATTGACTTGATGTTTCTTAAAATGGAGATTATTTTCTATAAAACAAATAGTACTGATTTCACAATTATAGCTAATATAAAATATATCACTTGGTGTTTCTGAAATAAAATGTTTATTTCAACTTGTTTAATATTTTTCCATGTTCTGTAATTGATGAAAGTCATAACAATGCCTTGAAGCCTTCAATTAGGATCTACTTTAATTTGAAACATATCAGTTTGGATATATTTGTCAAATAATGATAGTAAAAATAATAAAATGAATTATAAACGTATTTTGAATAATTAAATCCTCTTAATTACTCCATATAAAGGAAACACATTAACATTAAACAGCTTAATTTATTATACCTCCCGCTTGAAAAGTGGGAGGGTATACTGTAAATGGTATGTCCTTCGGTCTGTCCGTCTGTCTTTTACGCTTTTGGGGTACCCATCTCTTATCCGCTACTCCTCTTATACCACTGAGTGAAATTTAATGAAACTTTCACAGAATCTTTATTACAGATTGCCATTGTGGCCTCCTATTTTACTTTTTGATCCGACACTTATTTTGGGTTTCCCTGTCACAGCAAAACATGGACTTTGCCATTACAACTAGTATCATTTAATGAGCTCATCACTCACAGTACCTCTAGTTTTAATCTCTAGTCTCAAAGTGTGAAAGAAAGAAAACTTGAGCCTTGTTCTTATTATTTTCACATTTTTTATCAATCTATATAAAAATAATATAACAAATGTAGCCCTTGTATTCGGTCAATCCATAGATGTATCGACTTCACAGAAATACATATCGACCTCGCACTACGTGCTCGGTCAATATGCTTTTCTGTGAAGTCGATATATTTATGGATCGATCTCACCAAAGGGCTTTATTTACATATTATTGTGTCTCTACTAAATATATGACAGCCCTTTTTTATCAAAACAAAGGATTTCAATTAATTCGTAATTTTCTCAGTCTAAACTAAAGAAAAGAAAAAATAATTAAAATGTATTGTCATTTTACAGTCACTGTGATATTCGTCAGTGATAGTTTGAAGGAGATAACATACCTTTATTTACAGAATTTCTTTGATGCCCCAATGTATTTTTTTTAGTATTATACACAATGTTTGAAAATTTTCTTATTATTCGAAATGCATGAACATGATTAAAATTCTTCTCTCATATGTATTGACCTCTTACTCATAAAGTAATAACCAAAAATGTTTTAACATTTGTATTCTCTGTGTTTTCCCTTGAGATCAGTAGCAGATCAAGACAAGCTACTTCTTTAGAAGACTTTGAATACCTTACTATACCTTTGTAGAGAACTCTCTCGTGTTGGTTTACTCTATGGTTCTTACTCAGACCTACCTTTGTTTTGAGTTTTTCTTTGATGGCCTGCTCTCTGTGTTCTTTACTGGTGGCCTGTAGAGAACTCTCTCGTGTTGATTTACTCTATGGTTCTGTACTCAGACCTACCTTTGTTTTGTGTTTCTCTTTGAGGGCCTGCTCTCTTTACTGGTGGCCTGTAGAGAACTCTCTCGAGTTGGTTTACTCTATGGTTCTGTACTCAGACCTACCTTTGTTTTGAGTTTTTCTTTGATGGCCTGCTCTCTGCTCTCTTTGCTGGTGGCCTGTAGAGAACTATCTCTTGTTGGTTTACTCTCTAGTTCTGTACTCAGACCTACCTTTGTTTTGAGTTTTTCTTTGATGGCCTGCTCTCTGTGTTCTTTACTGTTGGCCTGTAGAGAACTCTCTCGTGTTGGTTTACTCTCTGGTTCTGTACTCAGACCTACCTTTGTTTTGAGTTTCTCTTTGATGGCCTGCTCTCTGTGTTCTTTACTGTTGGCCTGTAGAGAACTCTCTCGTGTTGGTTTACTCTCTAGTTCTGTACTCAGACCTACCTTTGTTTTGAGTTTCTCTTTGATGGCCTGCTCTCTGTGTTCTTTACTGTTGGCCTGTAGAGAACTCTCTCGTGTTGGTTTGCTCTCCGGCTCCACAGCTGTGCTCAGACTCAATCTCTGTTTTGAACCAATGTAAAGATACAGGTATAATAACAGACATTTCTTAATTTTTATTAGAAGACAAAGGTCTTAAACAACTGTATGCTTTTTAATATTGAACGGACATTGATATAATATTGTACTTACTGATTAAGTGAAAACAGTTTTAAACTCTTGTAAGCTATAATCTCATTATCAATTTAATCAATAAAGACAAATCTCTGCTACCTAAAGGAAGCAAATTGTGGATCTTAAACAAAATTAACAATTTCAATATGTTTTGAAGGTTATGGTTAAGATAAAGCAGTGTTGTGTGTATGGAGTTAGAGGATTTGGTAATGATTATGCAGTGTTACCTGTAACATTAAGCAGTGTTACCTGTATGTTTGACCAGTGTTACCTGTATGAAGTTGGAGGTTTTGGTTATGATTATGCAGTGTTACCTTATGAAGTTGGAAGTTTTGACTATGATTAGGCAGTGTTACCTGTATGATTGACCAGTGTTACCTGTATGAAGTTGGAGAATGTGACACAAACCACCATCAGTTTGTGTACAATCCTCAGAAGGTCAGGGTCTGTTAACATACAGTCATTCATACAAGTGTTCAGAAAATCAGCATGGTACGCCAACACATCATCTATGTTAGACACCTATCAAGAAAATTGAAACATGTAAAATTATTCCTAAGTTGATGTTTGATGTTTAGTTTATATGTAGGGAGTTGCATAATTTCTTCAACAATTTCAAGTATAAACAGCATTCTAATGCAATTATTTTGTAAAAGACTCTTTGATTGGCTCATTAAATGATGTTTAAAGCAGTAAAACGAGCATTAACGAGCGTGAAAGCTTTTGCATTGTGACGTCATAATAGAGCGATGCAAAACACAATGCTCCGTGACGTATTTCATGTAACAAAATTCATCAAAATAAGACGTAAACAAGAAACAAAATGATTCATTAGAATTAGAATGGATGAGAATGGGAATAACTGATCTTTTAGAATGCATTAGAATGGGAATAACTGATCTTTTAATTTGGTATTTGCGACCGTTATTGCTGATTAAACGGTCGCAAACATCCGTTTTACCGGCTCCGCTTACACATCACGGGTAAAATTCAGTTATTAACTAAAATCAGCATTAACAGTCGCAAATACCAAATTAGAAGATAGTTATTCCCTAATTTACAATGTTGAAGCATGTAAAATTAATTATATGTAGATACTTCTGAGGCATCTTATGCTATTTGTTTTACTGTCACTCTAGCTGCAATAATGTAGCCCTCTCCCTTTTTTTTTTTTTTTTTTTTTTTTGGGGAGAGGGCTACAACTCCTTAGGATCTCCATAATGGTGCAGCTGCGGGAGTGATTTGCTCCCGCACGGATTTCGGCTCAAATTAACAGTAAATGGCTATTTTATTAACATTTCTTACCTTGACTCCAAATAAGTAGTCATCCAAGACGTAAACCAATGCAAAAATATACAGAACGATCCCTATATCGCTTATTTTTCGTGTATGTCAACATCACAACTCGAATTTATCCGCCATGTTTACTGACCTTGATAGATTGTATTTTGGGACAGCCAATGAGAATTTAGGTTCTATAGGAGCGGATCTTTTTGGAATTCCCTTATTTTAAACATAAATATCGCTGCTTGCATAAAAATAACACTTAAAATGGTTTTATATACCTATGTTTTTGTGATGAAATTCAGCACATACATTTATAAACACCGATAATTGCTTTATTCAGTTGTTCTAAATTTCAAGCGAAAGTCTCATTACGTCACGCGTGAACTGTCATGGCTGCTGAAGTAAACTACCAGGAAACATGCAGAGTTATTTTACGAGTTTTTCGCATTTAACGGGGTCTACTGTTGACAGTGAATAAAAAATTCGTCTTATTAGAAGTAAGTTGAATGTAAAAATAATTTATTTTGCCTGCAGTCGCTCCTATTAAAAAAAAATATTTGCACCATTACGGAGATGCGATGGAATTGTAGCCCTCTCCAGAAAACATCAGATTAAAAAAAATCGGAGAGGGCTACATTATTGCAGCTATGTCACTCTAGCTGCAATAATGTAGCCCTCTCCCTTTTTTTTTTTTTTTTTTTTTTTTGGGAGAGGGCTACAACTCCTTAGGATCTCCATAATGGTGCAGCTGCGGGAGTGATTTGCTCCCGCACGGATTTCGGCTCAAATTAACAGTAAATGGCTATTTTATTAACATTTCTTACCTTGACTCCAAATAAGTAGTCATCCAAGACGTAAACCAATGCAAAAATATACAGAACGATCCCTATATCGCTTATTTTTCGTGTATGTCAACATCACAACTCGAATTTATCCGCCATGTTTACTGACCTTGATAGATTGTATTTTGGGACAGCCAATGAGAATTTAGGTTCTATAGGAGCGGATCTTTTTGGAATTCCCTTATTTTAAACATAAATATCGCTGCTTGCATAAAAATAACACTTAAAATGGTTTTATATACCTATGTTTTTGTGATGAAATTCAGCACATACATTTATAAACACCGATAATTGCTTTATTCAGTTGTTCTAAATTTCAAGCGAAAGTCTCATTACGTCACGCGTGAACTGTCATGGCTGCTGAAGTAAACTACCAGGAAACATGCAGAGTTATTTTACGAGTTTTTCGCATTTAACGGGGTCTACTGTTGACAGTGAATAAAAAATTCGTCTTATTAGAAGTAAGTTGAATGTAAAAATAATTTATTTTGCCTGCAGTCGCTCCTATTAAAAAAAAATATTTGCACCATTACGGAGATGCGATGGAATTGTAGCCCTCTCCAGAAAACATCAGATTAAAAAAAATCGGAGAGGGCTACATTATTGCAGCTACTGTCACTCATGATCATAATGTCTTACATTTTCCATGTTTTGCTGGAACACGAGCCAGTTTTGTTCCACCACCTCAAACATCATGTAGTACTCAAAGTTCTGGACAAAGTTGAGCATCCTCTGGCGGAGAGCGAAAGCGGCCAGGTACCACTTAGAGGAGTGGAGGGAGTACATCTTGGCTGCCTTGTTACCGATCCAAACACTATCGGGTGAAACACAATATAAGGCGCATTAAGAATACCACATTGTTATACACGATTTTTAGAAATGTTAATTTCTTTACATGTAATTTATCATAATTCATTCATAGGCATACTTATAAAGGACTTGTGTGCAAAATTTTGTTGATCTAACTTTAACAGAATTTAAGTAAATGCAATAAATGTACCCCAAAAATGACCCTTTTTTAGCGTTATGCGGTTGCGCTTTGAAATTACAGCATTTTTCAATTGAAATTATTGATATATATATCATAAATTTTCATGCTTATGATCATTATCAGACTTTAGAATTTATTTTAAAAATTATTTTGGTGCTTGAATTTTCAGGATTGAATGACAACTTTTGAAGATATGAAAGAAAATGTAATAGGGGTGCAATGTTATACATTTTTGACATAATTTCATCCCTCTCATTATGCCAAAAAAAAAATGTCCATATCATTTTTTTTCTCAGATTTCTGTCTAAAATCACAGTATTAATGCTCTGTTACTTACAGAAAAAAGTTGGGTTAATGTAACAATTGAAATGAAATTTCATTATGTTTTAATGTGGAAAATTAAGGTTTTACAAAAAGCTGTAGTGTCCGTAACCACTTTCATTCTGTGAAATTGGAAAGCTCTATAAATATCATTACTAATTTCCTAGATAGGCATCTCATATAAATGCTGAGATGTTTTGTAATTTTCCTGATCATCAGCACTGTTTGTCTATTTTCATTACAAATGTGGTTACGGACACTACAAAACCCTGTAGTGTCCGTAACCTAAATTTGAGGCAGTTTGAAACAGGCAGTGTTAAAACACTAATGCAAATTTGTTCACAAGGGTCAGAAGTTTGTTTAACAAGTTAGTCAATGTACTTTATTTTTCTCGCTCATTTTGATATTGCAACTAATTTGGGAAACCCAGATTGCACCATTTTCATATACAAGATCGTTGGGGTTACATCACCTTGATATTGGCAGATGCTATTGACATCCTAGGATTTAAGTCAAATAGCATGTCATTATTTTTCATTGTTTAAGTCAACTGGTGTTACATTTAAGAAAATCTTGTTGAAATCCCTTTATTTAAGGTATAGTTTTATCCTATTGTGAATAACTTGTAGAGTGTGTAGTGTCCGTAACCAAAAGTTGAAAAATGATATATCTTTATTTTTCGCCATAGAATTTACAGATAAATTTTTGAAACAGTGTATTACTGTAAATCACTTTTTATTCGCGAGAACTTTATTTTCGCATAATTACGCGAGACAGCGTCCTCGCGAAAATTTAATTCTCGCGTATAATAGTATTCCTTAGGATTTTATAGAACAATAAGCACAATTCTCCAAAATTTTGTCTCGCTAATCAAGAGTCAATTACTATCTCGCGAAAATAAGGTGTCGCGAAAATTTAGTGATGTACAGTATTGAATTTAGAGATAAAAAGGTGTTTATTAGTTGGAATTCTTTTAGATCATTTAGTGGTTTTTTTCTTTACTGCAAGTACTAAAATAATGATTGGACACCCACAATGACATATAAAAATAGTTAGAAATTACTATCACTAGCTACATAACCCATATTTTTGTGAATATTGCTTCAATTGTTTAGTTGCTTATTAGGTGAAATCTTAAAATGTGTTAAATGCAAATAAATTTGCATTCAAAATGTTAAACAGTTGGGAAGTAATTTGGTTACGGACACTACAAACAATTTCAAAAAAGAAAACAACTAAAATTACACCAATTTCATATAAAGTATTGTATATTTAACTGTTTGAAGAAAATTGAATGCTTCACAGAAAAGAATAAAACATAGGTAATCAGAGATTACAGAGCTCACCTCAACGAATGTTGTCTTTAAGTAAGGCAAAGTCACACAATTAACCAACAAAAAGTGTACATTCCAAAAATGAAAATATTTAAGCAATTCTGATCTGATACTTTGAAATAGACCTACATAAACAATTTAAACTAGTTATTCTTCATGAAAATGTAATCAAAATCCAGCATCTGAAGCAAATTTGAGAATTTTCATCTCTTGATGAAAACTTTAACCTGTTCACTCAACCGCAAAATGTAGGTCAGATTCAGCATCCGAAGCAAGCCCGGTTGTATGCATCCTTAGATGTATCATCCATGCAAGTTTGGTCAATATAGGGCTCATAGTTACTTGGAAATGAAACCTGCACCAAAAACTTTAACCTGTTCACTCAACCACAAAATGTAGGTCAGATTCAGCATCCGAAGCAAGCCCGGTAGTATGCATCCTTAGATGTATCATCCATGCAAGTTTGGTCAACATAGGTCTCATAGTTACTTGGAAATGAAACCTACACCAAAAACTTTAACCTGTTCACTCAACCGGAAAATGTAGGTCAGATTTAGCATCTGAAGCAAGCCCGGTAGTATGCATCCTTAGATGTATCATCCATGCAAGTTTGGTCAACATAGGGCTTATAGTTACTTGGAAATGAGACCTGCATCAAAAACTTTAACCTGTTCACTCAACCGGAAAATATAGGTCAGATTCAGCATCCGAAGCAAGCCCGGTAGTATCCATCCTTAGATGTATCATCCATGCAAGTTTGGTCAACATAGGGCTTATAGTTACTTGGCAATGAGACCTGCACCAAAACTTTAACCTGTTCACTCAACCGGAAAATGTAGGTCAGATTCAGCATCCGAAGCAAGCCCGGTTGTATGCATCCTTAGATGTATCATCCATGCAAGTTTGGTCAACGTAGGTCTCATAGTTACTTGGAAATGAAACCTGTACCAAAAACTTTAACCTGTTCACTCAACCAGAAAATATAGGTCAGATTCAGCATCCGAAGCAAGCCCGGTAGTATCCATCCTTAGATGTATCATCCATGCAAGTTTGGTCAACATTGGGATTATAGTTACTTGGAAATGGAACCTACACCAAAAAATGCACCAAAAATGTTAACCTGCTCCAAAAACATTAACCTGGTCATTCCTTTGCTGAAATTGCAGCATCTGAAACTTTGACTGGTACAATGAAACACACTAGAACCATCTTCCATGCATGTCTAATCAATATAGGACATAGAAGTACTTAAAAAGAAAACTGCTCCAAAAAACTTAACCTTAACCTGGGACGCCGACACCGACGCCGACGCCGAGGGTATTACATAAGCTCCCCCAACTTCGTTGAGGTGAGCTAAAAATAATTGAAGAAATATTAGTGAGCTTTATTCTTCAAGGTTTGACTTTTCTACTTACACATAACACCTGTCTAAAGTTACATGTGTATATATTTATTCAAAGTATATTGGTTATGTTATGCTTGTAACAGATGAAGTTGAGATCTGAAAAATAAAAAAAATCAGGAGAAACTGAAATGAGAAATGAAATGCTGAAAAAAGATAGGAAAAGGGCTTAAAAACAAAAACTTCATCCACAAACCTGTGAAAAATTAAAGTATTGTGTAGTGTTCTCAACCCTTAAATTTGGTCAATTGACTTCATTGATCATTGTACCTACATTCTAAATAGTTTTCATAAAACTTTAATGAATAATAAAACTTTTCTTTTGCACTTCAGTAATAAATACATGTAGTTATATGAAAGAAGGAAGTTTCAGGATTTCCTAAAGTGGATTTTTTTCTATTGGCATTTGCAAGTAAATTGTTTTTACTTGAAATAATATCTAATTTGTATATACTTTGTATTTAATAATCATTTAAATCTGATTTATACTAGTTCAGAAGTTCATAAAATGTTTTTTTACCACAAACCAAATGCCAATCATAAATATTTGGGTTTTGTAGTGTCCGTAACTTAATGAAGCTATCAAATAATTTTAGAAAATTTATAAAAATGAAATGTCCTATTTTAATGGAAGTATTTATATCTCACCAAATGCATAAAAAGTGTTATTTATAAATAGTTTTTTCTTTATTTATATTGGTTTTAAAGAGTTCACATGAAATGAAATACTACCATTTTGAGCAAAAATGTATGAAGTAAGAACTGTTTAAATTTTAAAGTACAATGTCACCTTTTTAGTCATAATTTTGTCCTTATTTTGTATTTATATATGTTCTTTGTTTGTAAGCAGTTGAAAAAATTAGAGCTTATAAACAGTTTTCAATATTTATTTCAAAGAAAACAACACTTGTAGTGTCCGTAACCTGTGAAAATGAGGTTATTATCAGCTTGTAAAAAACAAAGTTCTAATGTGAATTTCACAAAACCGTTTATGCTTGAGATCCTTTAGATACTCTACTTTTTAGAAAAAATGTTTTTGGGGCAAAACGAAGACATTAATTTTTTACCCCCAAGTGCAACCTTACTGTCCCCTATATTGTGTTTCATCCGTATACGTCAAATAGAACAAACAGAACAATGTTAAACCCACAAACTGACAGACAGAAATAGAACACTAGTCTTTTTAAATATTGAAGAAGGAAATAGTATCCTAGACTAACTGTTCATTGTATATCTTTCTTATAAATTTTTAAAATATATATATATTTAAATAAAAATCTAAAAAAATCTAAAATAGAATAAATTTACCCAATGCTTTATAGAATAACTAAAGAGTAAATACAAAATACATCATAAAAAGTCAGTATACAAAATAACATAAATTATGAAATAACAATGTTGTTATAATATACTTACCTACAAAGTTGTCTTTCTACATGTTTACAGTAAAACAGATGTCTGAACAGCATCTGGTATCTGATAAGGGCCTATAAAAATTAACAGAAACAATTTTTAATGCATAGAATAATTTGATACAATGATTCCTACATGTATTGCATGTATTAACAAAAAAGTTTCTTAAAGCGATATTTGAGTACTAAACTATGTTTAGGTGAGGACAGAACATTTTTCTCTGGATTGGTCTCCGCAATACCAACTTTTTATTTTATTAGAAATACAATAAAATTAATAATGTGGTTACATCAAAATTGATGCACGCAGGCCTCAGAACCAGGCCCCGGGATCATGAAACTGTCTTAAATTAAAGTCAGAATTTTGTCTTAATTTTAAAATGTAGGCTTAATTAAGATTGCGCTCTTAAGTGGATCATAAAAGAGACTAAGCCAAATATTAACAAAGATTATGCTAAGCAAAAAGCATGACTGAAAGTCTTTATCGCTATAGTAGCATGCGTGATCTTTAGCGCGCTTACGGTAATTCATTGGAACTCTTCAATGTTGAAGTTACATAATCGTCTGCCGTCGAAACAAAAATGACTGAAATAGCTGAAACGAGTGAAAGTAGTAAGATCACAAAGGAGAGGAATAGGAAAGTTAATTGGTTACCGAAAGATGAAATACTGTTAGTTGAGGAGGTAAAGAAGAAAGAGTCATTGTTGTTCGGAAAGTTAGATGGTTCAGGCAGAACAGCGGGGGAGAAAGCGAAAGCATGGAAGGAGATTGCCGACTTGATCAATGCGTAAGTCACTATCAGCTGGCTGTCATCTTAGCATATTAAAAAAAAAACAAAAAAAACATGCACATGAGAGTCGATCATTAAAAAAAATATCATGAAGTAAAGTTTGTTAAAGAAAGTTCAACTCGTCACTGATCATTTTCACCTAGGTAGAAGCAATTTAAAAGAAAAAAAAGAAAGAACCATATAATTATACTTACTGCATGAAAGAAACGTGTCGTGGATTTTTTGTGTGGATAATTAAGGGCTAATACAATGAATGGCCAAAGCTGACCTGCTTAATTTATGAAACTGTAATTCATGTATGCATTTACAAATGTACACACACATGCAGTCTCTCTCTGTTTTTTTTTAGCTTTTAAATAAATATGGAACTGGGTCAACTTTCATGCCTTTATCATGCTAATTATATCATTGTAGATGATGCACTGTTAATTCTTCAACTTTTTCAATTTTATTTAATTTTGTCCATCAACATTATATATATGTATGATGCACAAATATTGGTTTATTTATTTATATATGAACATCATGCAGTTGACCGATAAGCAATTCTGCACTCCATTGTCATCCCTACAATATTATTTGGTTTCAAATATTTCAGCCATTGATTTGAAGTGCATATTTGCATTAACTGCATATTACACAAAAGGAATGGAAAAAAAAATTATGATTATATTAGTTTCCTTTGATTGGTAACAAAGTTGAATATAAATATCCGTGCACCCAACTTGAGCCGGGTGTAAATAAAACGTGATGCCACAATGCATACATTCTCAGAGACTTTATGATAAAAGCAAAATAACCTGACATCACAATGTATTATATTACTTGGTTATTTAATCGATAGATTGAGACTACTCTGATGTTTACAAAGCATTTTTATGGGTACAAAAGAAATAAATTCGTTATGCAGGTCCAACCAGGGGTGTGCAGGGATTTACACTGGTTTGTATGTATGGAAAAAAAACCAGGGCAAATCCCCATACACCCTTGACTGGACCTGGATAACTAACATTATTTCTTCATTTGATGCAATTTCTTACATAGTGTACTCTTTTTTCAGGGGAAATACCATAGCTCAACGGTCAGTGGTGGAAATCAAGAAGAAATACCAGAATATAAAGCAAAAAGGTAAGCTTTTTTTTTTTGCATTAGTGTATTTTTAACACCCCCCCCCCCCCCCCTTCTGGGTTTAGACATCCAAAAGCAAACAACCATATACATGTAGAAATCATTTTTGAAACAATACAGGCAAAAATAAAGCATTATTTGTAAATCTTAATTAAAATTACCTATTTAGCACCCATATTTACATTCACTGTGTTCTTCTAGTACACCAACTGTGAAGTTGATTTGAATACCTTTTTCGTGTATACTCATGGGTAGAAATATACAGGGAGAAACATGCGCTAGCGTGATGTCAGAATGAGGCTACATAGACATTGGTAAAAATGCAACAATATAGGACAGCGAGAAATTTGAATATTGAGTAATTTTTTTCGTGCTCACAAACATGTTAAATTCAATAATTCACACTAAACTTAAAAAATTCCTTAATTAAACTGACATATGGGTCATATCTAAAATAATTCAAGCTTGAGAAATAAATTCTATGTTTATTATTGTACTTTAATATTTCAATTCATACAGCTAAGGAGAAGAGGAGTGCTAATTTGCACCCAAAAACAGGAGGAGGAAAACGACCGCCGTCTCCCACTGCTAGCGAGCAACTGCTGCTTGATGGGTTGGAGGGTAGACCAAGCCTCTGTGGTCTTCCTTGTGGCTTTGACACAGCAGGTGATATTTCTAACAAAACTATTGTTTAATTAGGGAATTATGTATTGTTTTTAAACTTTTAAAAGGTATAATATTGTATGGGGATGTTAATACAGGCATGTGTTAAAATTCCATGAAGCCCAAAGAACTTTAATGGTAGATTTTAACACAGGTATATTTAAAGTACGTATGTATTTTGCATATAAAATGTGTTAAACTCTTTTGCATTCGAAACACCATAAAACCGGTAAGGGGGTCAAAAGTTTAAAACATGCATTTCATTTTGATGTCACAATCATTGAACTCTTTCGACCGGAAATGGTCTAGTCCCCTTTACTGATAAACATGTACATGTAACACTAACTAACTACTGTAGATCACTATATTTTCGCGACACCTTATTTTCGCGAGATGGTCATTGACTCTTGATAAGCGCGACAAAATTTTCACGAATTGTGGTTCTTGCTCTATATAATCTTAAGGAATACTATTATACGCGAGAATTAAATTTTCGCGAGCAGACTGTCTCGCGTAATAACGCGAAAATAAAGTTCTCGCGAATAAAAAGTGATTTACAGTAATTGAATTACAAATGAAATGATTTAGTTTTGAACATTGTGAAGTAAATTATGATTAAATATTGTATGCATTAATAGAGTTGAAATTCAATGAAGAAATTATTTTGCAGATCCAGTTTCTATTGAAGTTGTATGTACACCCTCTGGTGATCGCGAGCCTGTGCAGTGTACAAGCAGTGAGTTTGATCCGGCTCCTACAGATGAGACTTCATCAGCCTTCACTTCCTCATACAGTGAACCACCATCCAAAAAGCAAAAGGTCACAACAGGTGCTCTTTTGGAAGAAGAACTCATCAACATTAAGGATGACGTTTACTCAGGTTTCAGAAAACAGAAAGGAATTTTTATAAAGTATAATATTTTAAATCAAGAATTTTCTAAATGGATAAAATAAGTAAGTTTTAAATCAAAATCAATTTGAAAATTTAATATTTTATTATTTAAAGAAAATATACAGGAACAAAAGTCAATGTATGGTAATGCAGAGGAAATTCGGACTATATTTTTAGTTTTCCATTTTTGTCAAATTTTTTTATTTTTTGCAATATAAATCACAAAGTAAAGGTTACATGTTTTTTAAACATCATTTTGCAAATATTATATGTGTTAAACCTTATAATTGATTGTTGTGAAATAAAGAAATTCAAAAATATGTAAAAAAAAAAAAAAAAAAAAAAAAACCATTCGAGACAACATATCTCAATAATTTGATCATTGACCCCATATAATATGAATACCATGAGAATTAGGGCAACAAAAGTAATCTGAGGCTCTCAATAGTTTAGAGTTCTTATCAGTCAGATTTTTGTAATATTCGATTAAAAATGGGAAAAAAAATATAAAAATGACAGAGGAAATTCGGACTGTAATAATTATCACATTTATCGCCGAAACTCCAATCTTTCCTTTTTATGAGGCAACGCTTTGCCATTGCCATAATATTTCATTATTTAAAGAGTTAAGTTGCTTGTAATATTTTGTGTGTATAGAAAAAAATTGTTCATGGTGTGAAAAATTGAGGTATTTTCTGAGAAATACTCAGGGGTCGATAGCATGAAAAGTAGGTCATTGACCTAGTTATTTGAAGTTGAAATTTAACACGAGAATCATAGGTGTACAGTGTTCAATAGGTAGTTTTTCGTTCTTATCAGTGGAAGTTTTGGTCATACTGAGTAAAGGTATACCTTAAAGAGAAAAGAAAACTTATTAAAGAGCAAGAGAAATTAGTTCTGTTGCAGCAACAGCACATGCTACTTAAGGTTAAGCAGTTGGATCCCTTTTTTGATGTTAATTTGTTTTTTAATGAAGTTTAATTAGAAATTGTTAAACCCATATGAATGAAGTGGGGAAGGGGGATATAATTATGAATTACTGGTAGTGAAAAATTACTGGCATTTTAAAAAAAAATCTTATCAAGAACCACTGGGCCAGGAAAGATGAAACTGATGTGAAAACATCCTAAGGTAGTACAGATTCAATTTTGTTCACATCATGACCCCCACGGTTAGGGTGGGACCACAACAGGTGATCAAAGTTTTACTTAATAGATAATGTTTATAGCGGGATAGATGTTTTTAAAATGACACCTTATTACTTATATTTACATTTGTGACTAGTTCATACTTTATATTAGTATTAGCCTGATTGTTACTTTTAAAGTGTAAAATGCAGTATTTTTCAAACCCAATGTAATCCACTGAACATGCGTCGACCATTTATGATGTCACTGAGAAATTACGTCAAATTTTTATCCATACGCACATCTATGACCTCTTGACCCCGTACGGATATTTATACAGTTATAGATACGCATTCGTTTCATTAGTGTTACATGAAGGAAAACATTTGCAAATGTAAATACCGGTATATAGGATTATATAGGGGAAAAAAATCTCTAAATATCTTCTTCTCAAGATCATGAAATCCATGATTGTTCATATTTATGTGAAAGCATCCACGGGTAGTGAAGATTCAAGTTTGTTCAAATTGTACCCCTTCCCCCTTACCCCTTCTGCCTTTTAGGAGTAGGTCGGGATCACTCATGCATTTAAACTTTTTAATACTATACTAATTTTTGTGTTTTTCCTAGCCACAGTACTTAAGTGAGTGATGTACCCTCTGGTCCTCTTGTTCAGTTTTTGAATCAAATAACAAAGTTATAAAAAAAAAACACAAGATATATCATTTTTTTAAAGTCCTTCATTGAGCATTGATATCTTCTTTAATCAAATAAGATTATACATGTACAAAAAATTCAGTTTTTCTATTGTTTGTTGTTTGGTTTTTTTTTTTACAGATGTTGTACTTGTTTATAAATATAATTATTTCATATCATTTTCTATTCCTTAAAATTGTTAAATCTGAAGTGGTATATTTTCTGAAAGTTGTTGTTTTAACAAAAAATATATATGTAGTACAGTATACAATTTCATTATTACCAAAGCACAATTCCATATACCGTTACTGTACATATGTTGGAAACAATTGGGAATAAGCTTTGATTTGCTATATTTATTGTTATAATGTTATCATTATTATATATAACATTTCTTTCACTTGAACTTTCATATTTTTATTATTTCTTGAATTGGATGATAATTCAAATTTAGAAAATGTCCATTATACACATTGAGAGTCAAAACATTATAGTTATTTCCCTTTATACACTCATGCATAATCATGCATGTCCCAAAAATTTGATCTGAATTTAAAAATTTTTCTCTTATTTGCAATAAGAATATAGTACATTGCAGTTCACATGTAAAATATAGTACAATGCATTTGGTGCATGTTAAATTGCACATTGATTTTCATCATCCATTTGGAAACTGTGTAAGATTATACCTCTGATATAAAATTAAATTAGGCACAACAATGAAGGAAAAATTTACTAACTAAAAGGTTGCATATGCATGAATAATCAAAATGATTATAGTGCCAACTTTTTTCGTAATTCATAACAGCTAGTTCATAACACAAGATTTTTAATTTCTTGAAAATGAAGATTTTTACATATATTCTTTCCTTCATTTGTCATTTGTTTGTAGTTGCTATAATTGTACTTCTTTGTTAATGTTGAAGGAAATTTGTGCAATTCCAGTATTATTGTTACTTGATATGTAATAAATCTGTTATATTATTTATTTATTTGTATCTTTTGTTACATATAGATTATTGAGATGACATACGGAGAGGGAGTAATCTTTATACCGCATAATAAAATATTAAGGAGCGTATAAAGTATAAATATGTCTTACCATAGAGTTTGACCTATTTTGGATAAAAATAGGATGGAAACAAAAGTTACAGATATTTTCAGTTAAAGAACTGACGAGCAATATATTCTCGGTAACCAAATCCATTTTGGTTCATCAGCTGCAAGTTGTCCTCAATGTCAGGACCAGCTATTACTAGGTCATTAATGTCTGTGGTTACAATGTCTTGGCGTAGGATCCCAATGTTATGCAGCATAACGCATGCAACAACATACATACACGCTCTGTCTGGGTTGGTTCGAAGTCCTACTGACAGGCAGGGGAACCTCCTTTTCAAAATACCATAGGTCTGTTCAATGAGGACTCTTGTCCTACAAAGGGCCCTATTGAATTTCTCCCTGTAGTGCACATCATTAGTTGTGTTAAAAGGAGTCATCAGGTAAGTTTTACAGGGGTAAGCCGAGTCTCCTAATAATAATCCATCATGCTGACCTTGAAAAATAATGTATGTACAAGGTACATATAATTATATAAAAATGACATGACAACACATATATATTTTAGCTCAACTTCAAGACAATGTTGAGTATACTCATTATGGTATTGAGTTACATGTATTAAAATGTATTACCATTTTCAAATTGCTCACAGAGCTTACTCTCCCGAAATATCCTTGAGTCATGACACGAGCCTGGCCATCTTGCAACACAGTTCGTTACAAGAAAATTACTGTCACATGTCATCTGAAATATATGGATGGAAAAAAAGATTACCATATTGCTTTTTCAGGTATGGGTTTCTGTTAAATTTTTATAACACAGTCCAAGCCAAAAATATGTAAAAATATATTACAGTTGAACAGTATCTCAACACTGGTATCTCGAATGCCATGGATATGCTGAAATGATCTGGCAGTCTGAACCTTATTCCTATAATATTTTACCCTTGACATCTCTGATACTCAGATATATTTTAAAGTTTTTTTCAGTACCATGGAGTTCGAGATGGCGTGTTTTGACTGTATTCCCATTTTACCTGTACATTCAAGGAATGGTAACCTTTACGGTTAACAAAGTCCTGCTCGTTTTCTTTGGGTGTTTGTATCCTTATAAAAGTTCCATCGATGCATCCAAGTATACCAGGAAAACCTTTAAAGGAAAGCAAACAACAGCTTTAAATGAAGATCCCTTAAGCAGGGTGCATTAAGTCACAGTGCTAAGATTGATTGATTGTGTATTGTTTAATGTCCCTCTCGAGAATTTTTCACTCAAATGGAGATCCTCAAAGAGTCACAGTGCTGAGAAGATGTGATCCTTGCTTGGGATTTATGCATAGAAAAAAACAGTCAATCATAATCATATAGATTTGCAAACAATCCCAATTTTTGCAAAGACCACAACAGAGTACATTGTATAATTAATTTGCCAATTAACATTGCAAAGATTTATGGACATAACTATATATATAGCTGTACATTTCTGTTTTAAATTCTCAGATGAGTCTTGTGGCCTATATGGGCCTCTTAATTGTTTATAGACATTAGCTATTAGAATTATTTATCATGCAGATCATGGGGCAAATATATGGAAGAAAAAATTAAATAACAAAAATGTTGTTAAAAAAGGGAGTCTGAATTAATGTTATCTTGTTAATAACAAGGTGTGACAGGAATGATTTTTAATTGTTATTAACAATATACAAATATATGCAAAATGACATAATATTATTAAAATACAAGGCATAAATGTATTTAATATTAAATAATTTTAATAATATTATGTCCTTTTGCATATATTTGTATATTGCCTTCTCCCCAATATCATTTGTTTTTATTTACAAACCTTCTCAGGTAATAGCACGTGTTTTTAGGCACATGTTTATGTTTATCTAAATTCTGATTGGCTATTACCGAGGAATTTAACCTTTTGGGTGTTACTAAAATCAGTTAAAGTACATCCCTTGGGTGCATTCACTAGATTTTAAGTTGAATTTTCTATTGTTTCCAAATGGTATATAAACCATTGTAACTATAAGACACGTGGGGAAGCTTGGAAAGCATTAATTTGCTGTAAGTTCTCTCATTTTGATAAAGGTTTATTACGTATATATAATTTAACAGGTTGCACCACTGTAAATCATTATGTAAGTTATTAGACATATTGCCTAAATTGGTAACATCTATTGCCCTACAACTAAAAGTTATGAGTTATGTTATTAAATAAATAAGGGTTTTCTAAATCTCCCTTAGCTTTTCCACCCGTGTCGTTTCACATTGATAGATCATTTTACAAGAGTGTTTACGGTACTGTGCGTTCTTGAATATAGGGGGTGTCATCGCAACAAATGTGAAGGTCGTGTATGTTTACAAAATACAAAGCGGGTTAATTGGAAGCGAATGGCTGGTGCGAGTGTTTCTTATGTTTTACTCATGAATAGAATCAGATACCTGCTATTGCATGGAAATTCCTTTTCACATTGACGGCATCTTGACCTGTTGGGAATTTTATATATCTCCCGGAAAATCTCACCAGTGCAGCCGCTACCCGTCGAATGCATCTACCCGCGGTGGACTTGGAGATGTGTATGGAGTCTCCTACAACCTGATGGAATGCCCCAGTTGCAACGAAACGCAAGAAAACAAGAACTTGAATAAGACTTGGCAGAGAGAGGGATCTTCTTGTTGGATGGTGAATGTAATTTTCAATCAAATCAACAATAAAGATGATCGTCGGTCGTCGAAAGCGGTATCTCTCATACAGTTCATCATCGTCCCTCATTTCCAGCGGATTAAATCTATCCCGAAATAAACGAGGACGAGGAAGACGCCTTCTATGAGGATTTTGTTGAAAATAACGGCGCATACGTCCAATAAGGTCAGCCATTTTGACAGAAATTAAGACCAATCTTAAAAATAAAGACTGCCCATTAGCAGTCTTAAAATTTAAGACAAAATTCCAATCTTAACTCTAAGACATTTTTTTGTGATCCACTTTAAGACCAATCTTAAATTTTAAGTGCAAATTTTTGGAGTTAAGTCTGGCTTAAGATTTAAGACAGTTTCATGATCCCGGAGCCAGAATTTCAATTTTATGTAGCCTTACAGTGACAAGTTATCAACAGACTCCATACCTTCCTGTTAAGAACCAGAGACACTGGCCACTTGACCATGTAGTCAAAGGAGAAGGACTCAAGTCCAGACAGGTGTAGGTCTGTTGGGTCTACTTTATACTCTGTAATTATATAAAAGATAAATTCATTTCTATGAACTGTACAAGAACCCATAGGTTTCAGGATGACGTCGAAACTTTAAACGAGAATCAAGTTCAAAAAATATAACCATTCAAGACAATAAACTCAGTATTCCATGTGATCCTGATAATACAGTATATTGCTTTTAAACCAAACCTTTTTCTTTCTTTGTTTCTATGGAAAGGATTTTAAACAGCTGTGTGATAAGGTCAAATGGAAGCAACTCCACTCTACAAAAGAGTAAATTAACGGAGATTTTATACCACAATATGTACATTTCCAATGTTTTTGATCGAGAAAAAATGACAAATGGTTAATTTACTTTATTTCTCCATCACTGTACTGGTTCATTGATAGGTGTGTTAAAAAAATATCATGTGCAGGGCGGGACAAATATAGTGTCAAGAAGCGGGGCTTCTAGCATATGGATTGGCAGAATGAAAACCATGTAAATATAAGGAATAATTGTCAGATTTTTTTATTTCATGACCATGATAAATAGATTGGCTTGCATGATAATTTTATTCAAAAAATGTCTTCGGTGTTTTTGCAAATTATCATGCAAGCCAATCGATTGATCACATCATGAAATCAAAAAATAACTAAAGACAATTATTCCTTGTAATAAGTATATAACAATGAGTTACAGTTGGAAATCTGTCAATACATCTCAGTTTTGTTGATCTTATACTCACCATGCGATCTCCTGATATGATACTGATGATGAATGGTAGCTGTTCTTACTTATATCATGCTTGAACTAGACTGTTATCAATATTCACCAGAGATCATCCTTGAACTGGTCAATGTTGGCTGTACTCACCTGAGATCATCCTTGAACAGGTCAATGTTGGCTGTACTCACCTGAGATCATCCTTGAACAGGTCAATGTTGGCTGTACTCACCTGAGATCATCCTTGAACTGGTCAATGTTGGCTGTACTCACCCGAGATCATCCTTGAACTGGTCAATGTTGGTTGGCTGTACTCACCTGAGATCGTCCTTGAACTGGTCAATGTTGGCTGTACTCACCTAAGATCATCCTTGAACAGGTCAATGTTGGTTGGCTGTACTCACCTGAGATCATCCTTGAACAGGTCAATGTTGGCTGTACTCACCTGAGATCGTCCTTGAACTGGTCAATGTTAGCTGTACTGGTCCTAAGAGCCAGTTCCAGTAAGGTCTCTAGACGTGTGGGGGTGATGTTCTCCATATCTTGTCTCATCTCGTCCTCTGTCATGTCCATAAACTGGACAATAAAGTCCCCCTTGTCCAACAGGAAGTAATGCTTAATGGATCTAAAATCCAAATCAAGTTATTTAAAATTCATACCATAACCAAGTTTAAAATTGTGTGACAGATTTTTTTTTTTTCATATTTTCCAATCATAAAAGACAGGTCAGCGGGGGATACTCATTCCTCCATGACACCTGATACTATGTCTTATGTTGTAGAGGTCAATGTTTGTATGGATTTTAGAGTGTGTTTGTTATCTCCAAATATTTCATTACTATAGATTCAAATTCTGCATTTCATAATTATCGAGGGATTTCTTTTGTTTCCTCGTGAAATCATCAATAAATTATACTACCATAAATTTATACCTAATTCTGGCCATCAGTTCCTTCTCTTCCACTAGTAATTCTAGCAGTAGTTTACTAGAGTACTCATAAGCCTTCTCTATTTGTTCATAGTATTTCCTTTCCTTCACTGTGTACACAATTTCTTCAGCGCAAGGACACTGCACATCACGACCTACAGTGAAAGATCAGAAATTCTAAATACTGTATACAACAAATTAGTTTATTTGTTGTATTTTGTTATTAAAAAAATTGCTACTGTAACCTTTTTCTGGAGAAAAAAAAGTAATTATAAAAAGAAATCTTTCTTACCACAAAGTCGTACGACATTGAGGTATTTTCCGGTGTTGAGGATTTTGTTGGCCACCTGTTCTAGAAATACTGGGATCCGCTCCCGACAGATCGTGTAGTGGCCTTCCCAGTATGCATCATTGTATTCTTCCTGTAACTTCTCCTTGTTAATCGTCTCATTCTCCTCCACAAGAAACTATACAAACAAAATAAGACTTTACAATTTTATTCATCAAACATTGCTAAAAGATTCTCAAAAGATATAAGGTTTTCAGATCATTTCACACATGCAACTTTGATCAATTTTTGTCATAATTTATCTCTTTACTGATACTTTTTATAGCATTTAAATAAAAACTATTCAAATGGTTGGTGTATCTCAAGAATTTATAAAAACCTTTTAAAATTAACTTACCTCAGAGTAAGGGTCTGAGATGATTCCTTTATAAATCCACTTCTCCAGAATCTCAAAGTATGGGACGGAGGCCTGTAGAAAAATTTTAATTAATTATAATGTTACAATACTCTCTGGCATCCATATCAGTTCATGCACACATATTAATTCAACAACTAAAAAGTTCCAGTGTTGACAAACATTGTGACATTGAATACTTACTGACTGTGTAAGGTAAAGACAAAGGTCCTGTCCTTTTGAATCCCTAAAACCAAAAAAGACAAATCTTTTTACACTACGATTTTTTTTCTGTTATTGATGTGAATTTTTGGTTACAATACTACTGGACAATAATTTCATACTTAAAGATTGATGAAGTTGAAATACTTGTATAATTTACATTACATTACCCAACTAATCCACTAGTTTTGTCATGGAGGAGACTCAAGACTGCACCTCCTATACACTCCCCCTGTCAACATGTATAAAACATTGAAGAATGTTCATAGAATAATTGGCTCTACTTAAACAAACTTGAAACTCTTGTATGGAATTAACACACTTTTTTTCTATAAACATGTATCAGAGGAGAAAGAGCAAGAGCCATCTTATGCATAATATGGCCCTGTACTTATATCAATTAATTAACTATCGCCCTCTTTCCATTTTCATATATCAAAATAAAGAAGACACTTGGTGCTTTCATGTTCTATAATGAAATTTTGTTTTGAGAATCCAAATATTTGAGATCAGGCTTTGAGAAATTGCAATGTTCTTGAATTTTGCAGAAAATATGCATATTTGACTACCTTCAACAAAGAATTAAAATATGAGCACAGCCCACGATCCAAAAAATAAAACATGTTTTCTGATCTTCAAAAATAGACCTTTCATTATGTATTGGCATATTTTGGATCAGAGGTTGTGCTCTATATTAAATATTGAAAAAACGCTTCAACTTTAGGTCATTTTCAAAGGAATTTACAGGATATGAGGAAAATGACGCATTTTATGACGTCATAATGCATTGACTAGATGTGAAATTACGTCACAATTAATAGATATGTGGTCACCAACAGTCCAAGTGATAAATACTGCATTTGCAACCTAAACTGAGCGGTTTTGAATTTTCAGAAATTGTCAGGGCCGAATAAAGCCCAAAGTGGCTCTACCTCTTTTAAAATGTACAACAACCAGAATTATTCTCGGGGTATTTTTTCCAATTTCAATTTGAGGCCAAGTGTTATATATATGACAATTCAAAATCAAAGACATAGTATAGTTGTACACCTTGTTGACAGAGTTTGCCACAGAAGCCAAAATGTCCAGTGTCTTCATGGTTGGCTGAATGTAAAACCACAGCTTCTGTAAACTCAGATTACCCTGTCATAGAAGAAAATTGCAAACTAGAAACATTAATACATTAGAATAAAGCATTCCTCAAAACATTAAATGACCATACTTATTGATAAAACTGAAATTTGAATACATTGACAAACAGAGAGAAGAGGATATCACATTGAGGGATTAATTTTTCCACGATTTTATGGTGGGAAGACAAACATAGGTAATCAGAGATTACAGAGCTCACCTCAACGAATGTTGTCTTTAAATAAGGCAAAGTCACACAATTAACCAACAAAAAATGTACATTCCAAAAATGAAAATATCTAAGCAATTTTGATCTGATACTTTGAAGTAGACCAACATAAAAAATTTAAAGTAGTTCTTCTTCATGAAAATGTAATTCAGCATCTAAAGCAAATTTGAGTTTTCATCTCTTGATGCAACATTTGTGCAAGTTTGGTTTATACAATGGTCTATTATCTGAAAAATATATATGTCGAATTCAGCATCCGAAGCAAGTCCATTAGTGTGCATCCTAAGATGTATCGTCCATGCAAGTTTGCACATTATAAGGCTCATAGTTAATTGGAAATGAAACATACATCAAAAACTAACATTTTCACTCATCCACAAAATGTAAGTCAGATTCAGCATCCGAAGCAAGCCTGGTAGTATGCATCCTAAGATGTATCATCCATGCAAGATTGGCCATTAAAGAACTCATAGTTACTTGGAAATGAAACCTGCACCAAACACTTTAACCTGTTCACTCAACTGGAAAATGTAGGTCAGATTCAGCATCCGTAGCAAGCCCGGTAGTGTGCATCCTTAGATTAATCATCCATGCAAGTTTGGTCAACATAGGGCTTAAAGTTACTTGCAAATGAAACCTGCTCCAAACACTTTAACCTGTTCACTCAACTGGAAAATGTAGGTCAGATTCAGCATCCGAAGCAAGCCCGGTAGTATCCATCCTTAGATGTATCATCCATGCAAGTTTGGTCAACATAGGGCTTATAGTTACTTGGAAATGAAATCGCACCAAAAACTTTAACCTCTTCACTCAACCGGAAAATGTAGGTCAGATTCAGCATCCGAAGCAAGCCTGGTAGTATCCATCCTTAGATGTATCATCCATGCAAGTTTGGTCAACATAGGACTTACAGATACTTGGAAATGAAACCTGCACCAAAAACTTTAACCTCTTCACTCAACCGGAAAATGTAGGTCAGATTCAGCATCCGAAGCAAGCCTGGTTGTATCCATCCTTAGATGTATCATCCATGCAAGTTTGGTCAACATAGGACTTACAGATACTTGGAAATGAAACCTGCACCAAAAAACTTTAACCTGTTCACTCAACCGGAAAAAGTAGGTCAGATTCAGCATCCGAAGCAAGCCCGGTAGTATGCATCCTTAGATGTATCATCCATGCAAGTTTGGTTAACATAGGGCTTATAGTTACTTGGAAATGAAACCTACACCAAAAACTGCACCAAAAATGTTAACCTGCTCCAAAAACATTAACCTGGTCATTCCTTTGCTAAAATTGCAGCATCTGAAACTTTGACTGGTACAATGAAACACACTAGAACCATCTTCCATGCATGTCTAATCAATATAGGACATAGAAGTACTTAAAAAGAAAACTGCTCCAAAAAACTTAACCTTAACCCGGGACGCCGACGCCGACACCGACGCCGACACCGACACCGACACCGACGCCGACACCGACGCCGAGGGTATTACATAAGCTCCCCCAACTTCGTTGAGGTGAGCTAAAAATGAAGTCATGCTCCCAAAACTAATTTAACTAGCCATTTCTTTTTTCATCCAAGGCAACAAATTCTCATATAAATGCATTATTTAAATTCCTTTAAACAATGAAAATTTGATCTCACAAAATTTTACATGGAAATTGGTAGCTAAGTATAAGGCCCTATAAAATAAATTTCTTGGTTCCCTCATCTCTTCCAAGAGTGCCTCATTGACCCTTTTATTGCTTAATCAAAAAAAAAATCAAATCACCTCCCTCATCATTTTTTTAGGTTTTGTACAATGTAAAAAGCTGGTTATGTATTGGGGGCAATAAAAAAAAGAAAAAAATGCCCCCTCCCTCCCTCATATTTCTTGAGAAAAGACCTGAGAACAAAAGAATTAACTTTGCATGGTCTAAATTGTATTTCAACAGCATGGAACCACAATAATGATTTCACTAACCAATCTGTATTGATGTTCCAACTGTGCTACAAGAACCATGTAGTCCTGAAAAAAAAAAAAAAGTCTTCTGTTAGTCCGTCTAATCAATCAAATTTCATACTGAACCCTAAATTTTTGAATGTGCAGGACATTTTTGCAACTCTAGCGAGCTATTTTAACTGGGGGACATTAATTGCAGCAAACTTTTTATTTTGCTTTGTACGAGGGTTGTCCGTAAAGTTCGTGGACAGGTCTTAGATTTACAGATTTAAACGTCATTTGTTAAAAATATTCATTCTATTACCTTTATTTTATAATTCCTTTTAAAATTATCTTTGAAATTTTTATACAATTTAATTTTTTAAATGTAAATTTAAAGGATTTCACAAAAAACTATTGATACCCGGAGCAGTCAAAACTCGCTCGAATTTTTTTCTTTTAAGAAAATATTCTCCCGTCATTTTAGCATTAGAAATCGCGCTAAAATTCGTGAAAAAATGCATTATGACGTTAGTAAGAAATATTACGTCAGATTAACAAATAAAAATTTTAAATCATTCAGACACGCTTCTTAAATTCATCTCAGAATCTTTGATTACGTTGGCCAAATTGTCCGAAGACGTGACAGATTTTGAACGCCTGGAGCAGCGTGCAGTGATTAAGTTTTGTGTTAACATAGGGAAAACCCCAACAGAGACACACAAATTCATGAAAGAATCAAATACGCATTCAAAAGTGAGTCGTTCGTTGGTATTCAAATGGCACAAACGATTTTTGAACGGACGATTGAGTTTGGAGGATAACAAGCGAGAGGGCAGACCATCCTTACGGGCGTTGAATGATGTTATTGAAGAAGTTCGCAACGTCATCGCTTGTGACAGACGTCTTACAGTATGTGAAGTTGCAGAAAAATGTGGATTATCTAAAACTACATCACATGAAATCTTGGTCAATGAGCTTAAAATGAACCGCGTCTGCGCACGATGGGTGCCCAGAATTCTCACACCTGAAAATATGAATGACAGGCTAACTGCGTCTGAGAACTTTTTGAGGAAATACAGCAAGGACGAAGAATTTCTAGATCGTATAATAACAACTGACGAAACTTGGTTCCACTATTACGACCCGGAAACGAAACAGCAATCAAGCCAATGGAAAAATATTGACTCCCCGCCACCAAAAAAGCCAAAGTGACAAAATCAATGGGAAAAAATATGTTTATACTCTTTATGGACAGAAAAGGAATGATATTGACACATGCTGTTCCGCAAGGACAAACCGTCAACGCAGACTACTATAGCAAAGTCTTAAGGCATGACTTAATCCATGCATTACGTAAGAAGCGACCGTATCTAGCTGCAAATCTGAACAGAGTTATTCTGCATCAAGATAATGCACCCTGTCATACTTCTCTAAAAACATCGCTGGAAATTGATTTGCTTGGTTTTGAGTGCCTGAAACACCCTCCATACAGCCCGGACCTAGCCCCGATGGACTTCGCTGTCTTCCCCTATATCAAATCATATTTGCGAGGTTGACGATTCGATAACCTATCTGAATTGCGACAAGAGGTGATGAATGTCATTTTTCGAACAAAAGCTGACCATTATGAACAAATATTTGATAAATGGATACAACGACATCAGAAATGTGTATTGCTGAGAGGAGACTACGTTGAAAAATTCTGAGGTGTTTTCATAGACTGACGTTACACAGGTACGACGTGATTTTTACGCCGGCACATTGCTCCGGGTGGACATATAAATAAAAATGAAATGCTTGACAATTAAATTTCTGATCATTGTATTTTCTTGAAATTTGATATACATAATAATTAAAGTATGAATTTTATTTTAAGCATTATTATTTTTTCTTACCATTTCCCAGTAACGTAAAATTGAGGTTGTCCACGAACTTTACGGACAACCCTAGTATTTGTAGAGAATGTTTTTTCCTACACAAAATTTATCTATGCGAATTGATTTCAAACTGACAAATCAGGAATAAAAGACAATGTTAATAATAGTTTATTTATTTATAGTATTTGAACAAAACTTCTAAATCCAAAAAGTATTAAATGAAAAGAAGTTATTACACATACAGGAAGTTGAAAAATAAAAGCTTTTTAAACTTTCCAATGGTACATTAAAGAATAAAGCCATACCTTGATAAGAGTTCTCATGGCTGCACTTAAGGCCTGGTTGACGAGTCCATACTCAAATGCTGATTTCTCTGAAAATATTAAAAGCAATGAAGTTAAAAATAACTACAGAGTGTAGAAAGGATCTTGTATTAATTAACACATTTTTCTCTACAGATGAAGGAATATTTTATCTCTTAATGTGGCAAAAAATAAATTTATCAACATACCTTCAATAAACCTCACCACAGTAGAGTAGTTACAACACAAGGGAAGAATTCTTCTGACAAGGTCTTGTAGAGATGGATCTATGGAAAACAAAACATTCCAGCTTTCATGTAAATTTGACATCTATTCCAGTTCCTACCCACATTTTGACATCTCTACCTTACAAATTTTTGAAATCTGTACCTACCCAAAAGTTAACATCTCTACATCCCAAGATGTTGATATCTCTATCTACTTAGAGGTTATCATCTCTACCTCCCAAGATGTTGACATCTATATCTAATTAGAGCAGTACTTACCCAGATTTTGGTCCAACATGAATTCCTTTGGAGCATACCTCTCTGTCAGAGCTCGAGCCAGGATGTATTTACCCTCAATCCCCTGTGAAATACAATCTGCCTTCAGTTAAAAACCCTTACATTCTTTACCATTTTCACCAATTATCTTATTTCTTTTGTTTTTTTTTGTAATGAACTTATTTTTAAAATATACTTAATGCTCTCTATATAAAAACAATTCTGTTCCTAGAAGCAATTTCTAAAATTAACACACTGTGTCTTATTCTAAATCATTATATTCTTGAGGGAATATTCAATTTGACTCCTCTTCAGATTTAATTTTATACAGAATCTGCTGCTAAAACCCTGGATCTGCCTATGTTATCTGATATTGTAGATGATGGACTTTTTTACCTGCATACAGTTCAACATGTCATCCAGAATGGCGTGCTCCTGAGCTGGTACACTCATGCTGCTTAGAGGAACAATATTCTGTAAAATCAAAAACATTAAAAACAACCTCATTTAAGGTAGGACAAAACACCCGTGAATTCTATTTTAACCCATTTCTTAAAAAAAGTACTGGAGGAAAAAAGAGTAACATTACTATACTGACAACAATGAATGATCCCTGAAAGAAAAATAATAAGTTTTGGCAAATTTGCGTTATATTTTGTGAAATAATCAGAGAATCCTATATATTGGTCATTTGGGAGCTTACATTTTGGAATGTGTTTGCGCTATATAAGTGCAATAAACAAGCATGTAACAGTCTGTTATAAATTGCAGTGCAACTTTTGTTCCATAAATAGTAGAGAGCTGATATTTGGACACATATATAAGGAGTCTTCTTTCTTTATGTACTACAAAGGTCAAGGTCATATCAAGAGGTCAAAGGTCAAATATTGTGACGTCATCTACTGAATCTTGTAGTTTTTTGCCATTGAATTTTTTTAAATCACCAAACTATCTTAAACCACCGGTTCAATTTTCTTTATTTTTACACATTTTATTCTAGGACCCATTTGAATCATTCTATTAATTTTTTGTAAAAATTGAATTATACATTTTCTCTCAAGAAAACTTAAACTGGTGAATATTTACATGTGAATTTTCAGTTTCTGACACAATGTATGTTCTTTTTTACTTAATATTTTACCCCGATTTTCCAGTATCATTGTGACTTACTGATTTAAAGTAACAAAATGTTATCTTTAATAAAAGTATTTCACAAAGGACAAGATAGGGTAAGAACAATATTTGGCCCCCAATTTGGGTTGTCTTTCAGAATGATCCAACAATTTATCATTTGAAAACCTGTTTTCACCCCTGCAACAAAATGAGTATTGGTTTTAAGATTTAGGGTATACAGAGGTCACAGTGAGGTCAGGAAATAGGTCAATTTTCGAAATTTTTCATTTTTATGCAAATTTTCACTAATTTTACAGCACATTTTCTTTCGCAAAACATAGAGCACACACTTGCCTATCTACCAAATTTAAAAATTTTATACACTGATATCAGATGCAGTATATGTGTAAAAATCTCAGATAGGCAAGCGTGTGCTCTATGTTTTCCGAAGAGAAATGTATCCGAAATATGATGAAATTCCACCAGAATTGAGGAAATTCGAGAAAATGTCTTATTTCTGCACCCTCCACTGGCTTCCATGTAGGCTTTGAATCAAAATTAGTGCTTGTCTTAAAGTAAGCATCATTTTAACTTCTTAAGTACAAACTATCACAGTTTTACCAGTGTTATGATTTTTATATCAAATAAGGGGCTAGATTCGGCTGTTACCCTATCTTGTCCTTTGCAATAGATCAATACAAAATTCTAAAATAAGGCTCATTCTCAAGTCGAATGTCGGATTTCACAAACTTCTTACAAGAGTAAGAATGGCCATATTTCAGACAATGTGGGCAAAAAATGTGCGGTTGAATTTCTATCATATCATAAAGAGAGATTCTGTATCCAAGAACAAAATATCAAAGTTTCAGAAAAATTGAATTTTAGGAAAAATCTGACCTATCTATTTGGTCCTACCTTAAAGTAAACATATTTTAAATTCTGTTGTCATTATAATGTCCCTGTTCTCAGATCTATATAACACATAATAGGGTTGTATTTTGGCTGACTTTTTTTCAAAGCAAATTGTAAGGCGTTTGTTTTAATACTTGATTTGACAAAACAATATTCTACTTGATCAGTATCTAAGGCTAAAAACAGACCACATCAACAAGGAATGCTTTCTCCTCTAAGACACCTGAACTCATTTATGGAATGAAGAGAGGGCAGAGTTCATACATCCACAGATTGGCGCTGTTGATATTTTTTATGCGATCATCTACAATTTTTTTTTTCAATATTAAAGGAGTTTAATTTAAGCTGTTTCATCAACACATTTACACCTGACAAATGTACAGTCATGTATTCCCAATGACACCATCACACAGAAATTTCATTTTGAGGATGTGCTTTTTTTGATAAGATGATGTATGATGTATGTTGCTTACTTGATCAGAGGGTTCATCTACTCCCACAATGAAGTCCAGGGTCAGGGAAGGTCTCTTAAACAACCAGTCTGGCTGAGGAGGAATATTTACTGCAAAAATTAATTTGTTATGTTTGTTAAATTCTCGGAGTACTAATAATAATAGAATAAGTTATTTTTGAATGTCAAATTGATTTTCATGTAAAAAAAAAAAAAAAAAAAGATAAGATACATAATGTAAAAATTCACTGTTTTGCTTCCATATTTAATACCAGTTGTACAGTTTAACTTCAATAAACAGAGATGATTAATTTTACCATTCCGTTTGTTTGGTTTCTCCTGCAGGGCTTTCCTTAATATTTCTGACGATGTAGTTGCAGTCATCATTTTTGATTCTTTAAAAAGTGTGTCCTTCAACTGTTAAACAAGGAACATATGTACAGGACATAGTTAAATTAAATTTCAGAAATCAGTTAAATTTTCAAACTTTAATAAGATTTGTTATTATTCTCAACTCTTGACCTATTACTGTATTTAAGAGAGTTCCCACCTCTGTGAAATCCTGCATGGTGATTTTTGCCCCAGGGGCGGGCAGCTGTGAAATGACCCTGCTATGTGAGGCCAGGGCCAAACCAGATTTATCAGCTTTGTCTTTGGCATTTTTAGCAAGGTACTCCTTGGTCTGTAAATAATATACAAAGAACTACACACAATGAAAATGGAAAAAAGCAAATTTTATCCTTTTCTGCTAGCTCTAGGTCATTATTCCTATTGTTCCACACACAGAGAAAATAATTTTTACGTTGCTCTTGGTATTACAGTATTTTGAAAAGAAAGAATAGAGTCCAACATCTTCATAACGCTGTAATAAATCAAGATTCATACCTCTTCCTCCTCACACAGTTTGGAAAGGAGAAACACAAAAGGGTCCAGTTCTCTGTTACTATGGAAACAAAAAAAATAATAAATCTGATAGTGATGTTAAAAAAACACATTGTCAGTGATTGAATTGGTAGCACATTGCCAACCAAAATTAACCAAACATCATAATAACAAGACCTGGCTAGTACTGTAATTAAGACACCTAACTCTTGCTCCTAACACAGTATGTATCTTAGTATAGTGTACTTATAGCAACTGAAACAAAACTGTAAGGCTGTTGTATTTAGAGAGAATTCTTAAGACGTTTCTATATTTAGTAACCATGGTAAAACAGTTGAAATCAAAAAGAGATATAAAGATTTGGTCAACTTGTGTTCCAATTCTTACGTTGAATTCGATTAAAACTTTAGGAAGAGTATAGGGTTTTGGAAACTGTTTACACATGGACAGACAGCTATAGCTAAACAGACAAAGGAAACCTCAATAATGAATAATCACTTCATGTTTCTGACCAGTAAAGCTACAAAATCAAGTCTTACTTTTTACCGTATATACTCGCCTATAAGTCAGATTTTTAGGAGTTAATTTCTGATCCAAAACTCTATGTCCAACTTATAGGCGAGCTATAAAATGAATGGTATTATATGAAGTCAGTCCCTCTGATTTTTAAGCTTATTAAATATAGGCGGACCGACTTATAGGCGAGTATATACGGTAGATTTGAGTTTATCATACTTGGCTAGGAACTCGATAGTTTTGTTGACTTACTTTTTAGACTTGAGTTCATCATACTTGGCTAGGAACTCGATAGTTTTGTTGACTTACTTTTTAGATTTGAGTTCATCATACTTGGCTAGGAACTCGATAGATTTTGTTGACTTACTTTTTAGATTTGAGTTCATCATACTTGGCTAGGAACTCGATAGATTTGTTGACTTACTTTTTAGATTTGAGTTCATCATACTTGGCTAGGAACTCGATAGATTTTGTTGACTTACTTTTTAGATTTGAGTTCATCATACTTGGCTAGGAACTCGATAGTTTTGTTGACTTACTTTTTAGATTTGAGTTCATCATACTTGGCTAGGAACTCGATAGATTTGTTGACTTACTTTTTAGATTTGAGTTCATCATACTTGGCTAGGAACTCGATAGATTTGTTGACTTACTTTTTAGATTTGAGTTCATCATACTTGGCTAGGAACTCGTTAGATTTTGTTGACTTACTTTTTAGATTTGAGTTCATCATACTTGGCTAGGAACTCGATAGTTTTGTTGACTTACTTTTTAGATTTGAGTTCATCATACTTGGCTAGGAACTCGATAGATTTTGTTGACTTACTTTTTAGATTTGAGTTCATCATACTTGGCTAGGAACTCGATAGTTTTGTTGACTTACTTTTTAGATTTGAGTTCATCATACTTGGCTAGAAACTCAATAGGAGTTTTTGTTGACTCAGCTATTTTTCTCTTGGCCTGATGAGCGGACACCTACAATTAACAAAAAACACCATAATTTCTTAGGATTAAGCATTGATTCATGAAAATCACAAATACCTGTATTCCAAGTATCACCTATTGATACTCCCAAAACAAAAGTTTTTTGTGTTATAAAATTATACATTTCATAGACGTCTCTCTGAACTTTGTGACCTTGACCTAGTGACCTTTGCTTGAGGTCATGTCATAATATCCTTTAATCATAATTAACGCACCTAGGACAATAATATGTACGATCTTGAAAGCTACTTCATGATAAAACTTTATTAGGAAAAATATTTTTTTTCACTCATATTCTATGACCATGACCCTGTGCAAATGACAAGTGTAGGTTTGTTACATACAGTCAAACCTCATGTACTCTCATGTCTGAAGGATCATTTGTGTTGAGTACAATTTTCTGAATTTATAAACATTAAAGGAATGACTAAGGCAAGATCTTTTCAATTTCTAAAATATGTCACCTCAATCTTGTTAAAATAACTTTAAGTAGGGTTAGGACATACTTTTCAGTAAATTGCAACCTTTGCCTCAGCTAGAAGCTTTAACTGAATTTTAATTTTAAAACTTTGGCTATTACAAGGCATCAATAACTTAATACTTTAATACCCTGTGACCTTTTCCAAATTGAACTTATTATTTTTGGTAGTTAAAAAGATAATGTCTAGACAATAAATGCCTACATACAGCTAGTCAGACAGATACATATGGAACAATCCAATAAACCCCCCAAGCTTCATTTGCGAGAATAAAATAACCATCTCATTACTTTGATTCCCAAACAATAAATTTACTCTACATTGGCTGATAATGCAGATATAGACATCTCAGGTATTTAAATCACATGACCCGGTAACAGGTAAATATTTAGAATGCAGACAAGGAAGTAAATTGTGATGTACGGGATTATCAGGGAGGCCATGTTGGATTTACAGGTGAGAGAAAATTATATATATAACATTTTTAAAATAAGTTTTCCTATTATATCACTAATGTAATAAGTTTTGCTATAAAGCCTGAAAAATGTCGAGTCACACCGGAAACAGTTATGTCCGGCCAGAAACAGTTATGTCACCTCCAACGGAAACAGTTATGTCACTATTTCGATCACGTTCACGTGTTTTTACGTTACGCATTTTAGCTCGGGTTCGAGATGTTATGATGTCGGTTGCTAAGCAAATGTAAACAATGGAGCGTTATTCTTAACGTCAAGAAGGCATTTTTTGGATTATTTGTGTACATTTTAACAATTTTGAATGATTTTTAATTTTCCTTTAATTTTAAAAATGTCATATAACATATACCACATGGCTTCTCGGGTGACTATACCAGAATATTTGCCCCTCGGTGACAGGAAAGCCCTGGAGTGTTATGTCACCCGATGCCGAAGGTGACATAACACTCCAGGGCTTTCCTGTCACCTCGGGGCAAATATTCTGGTATGTAACCCTCGAAGCCATGTGATATATGTATATTAGTGAATTTAATGTAACAAGATATTACCCCAGCTGTTGTCATTAATGACCTCAGGTGTAATTAAACACATCAATTAAAATACATACAAGAGTTATTTTATATTATACTATAAAAAGTATATTTATATTATGCTATATTGTTTTTTTTTGGGTAGCCATGATGGATTTAGAGGTGACACAATCATATTTATGATTTAACTTTTTGTTATGTACATTACTCTAGTTGTTGTCATTCATGACATTAATTTAAACACATAAAAGTGGCACTTCTGATGATACTTATGATATAAATTACAAAGAATTGCAAACACCGTGTTCTTCCTCATAAATACACAAGGTGTACAGACCATTTTTATTTTACTGTCAACACTAATCAATATTTCCCTACTGACATTTCCAAACTGGTTAACGGTCTTAGAATTTCACCAAAAAAACCTTGAACTTTTATTGTCTTTACATAACAGGATCTGCTGGTTTGACCCAAACCCCAGTGATGGACCCCCGTTACAGTGCCCAAGACATCCTCCTCTGTGACCTGTGTCAAAAAGCTGCATTACAGAGTCATTGTGAACTTTGTCAGATTAACCTGTGTAAGGCCTGTGTAGGGGAGCATCTCTCTGATTCCTCTAAAAGACACAAAGTTGTACCATACAAACAGAGAAAATCTACTTCTAACTACCCAAAATGTCCAAACCATGCACAGAAACAATGTGAACTTTACTGTGAGAAATGTGACATTTCTGTCTGTTCTACTTGCATCTCCTCTGGGAAACATAAAGGACATGATTTATCTGATGCTCTGCAGATACTCAGTTCAAAAACAAAAGATTTAGAAAATGACTTGAAAGAACTAGAGAAAAGAATCCTCCCAACATTTGAGGAAATTACTTCAGATTTAAGGTCTGAAAAAGTCAACTTGGAAAAACACTATGAGAAACTGACAACAGCTGTCACCAAACGAGGAGAAGACTGGCATAGAGAAATTAATGTCATTGTCAACAAACAGAAATCTGAAATTGATGAGATAAAATCTAAACACCTGGCTGCTCTAAATAAACAGGAAAATGTAATCAAACAGATTAATTCTGAAGTAAAACAGAGCATACATGATCTGAAGAAAATACTGGACTCCAATGATGTCTCCCTAACCTCTGGGTACAAATCCAGGAATGCTGAATTCAGAAGTTTACCTCCTAAAGTAAATGTTTTATTACCAAGATTTTCTCCTCATCAAATCAACACAGAACAGCTCCATCAAATGTTTGGTTCTCTGTCAGCATTATCCATTACAACAGAAGAACATGGCTACACAATGAAGACACCAGAAGCTGTATCCTGTCCTCCAGTCAAACCACTGCTTGATGAACCAGAGCTCATCACCACCATAGACACTGGGTATAGATCATACAGTGTTACCTGTCTCAGTGATGAAGAAATCTGGACCTGTGGAGGAGACAAAGTCATGGAACTCTACAACCTCCAGGGCAAACTACTGAAGTCAATCCAAACCAAATCTGGGAACATACCACGGGACATAGCAGTAACAAGGAGTGGAGGTCTAGTTTATACTGACACAAAAACAAGAACTGTCAACAAAGTGAAGAATAAAAAGATAAAGGAAGTGATCAGACTACAGGGGTGGACGCCTTACAATGTCTGTAGTACCTCCTCTGGTGACCTCCTGGTTACCATGGTCGGTGATGATGAAAAACAATCAAAAGTTGTCCGTTACTCTGGCTCCACAGAGATGCAAACCATTCAGTTTGATAGTGCAGGTAAACCTCTGTATTCATCTGGTGACCTTAAACACATCAGTGAGAACAGGAACCTGGATATCTGTGTGGCTGACAATGGAGCCAGTGCAGTAGTGGTGGTTAATCAGACAGGAAAACTCCGATTTAGATACACTGGTCATCCCCCTACTGACAAGGAATCATTCTATCCTATCGGCATCAAAACAGACAGCCAGAGTCAGATCCTGACAGCAGACTATAACAACCACTGTATCCACATCCTAGATCAGGACGGACAGTTCCTCCGTTACATTGATAACTGTGATCTACAGCGTCCATGGGGTTTACGTGTAGACACCAGAGACAACCTCTTTGTGGCTGAGTGGTTAAGTGGTAAAGTGAAGAAAATTAAATACATGTAAACAATGTGTATATACATAAACAGTTTGGATCTGAGATGATCTCTGTGGCTGTCTGGCTGAATGAAAAAAAATTGTAAATATAAATTGTGAT